AACCACCAGCTTCCCCCCACCCCTCGCCAACGCCTCCCCAAGATCCGCCTCACTCTCCAGCGCCGCCCTCCCCCCACCTTCCTGCCACATCATCGCGATCTCCTCTCCGCCCGGAATCTTCAAGCGTTCCCTAATCTTCTCATGCAGCGCCACATAGCTAATCGCGGCTGGAACTCTGATCGCAAACAGATCATCCCCAAAATAGATCTTCACCTTCATCGCTCCCCCACCCGCTGCTTGCAGCGAGGCTTGAGATTGCTGCTGTCCCACCTCTCGCCCACCCCCCTGTGCCGGGAACCCCCCAGGAGGCCCCTGTTGACGCGGCGGCGCGGCCGTAAGACCACCATACCCGGAGCCATTGAGATCAGCTTTACTCCCACCCCTATCATCCGCTGGCGTACCCGTCGAACTCTGTTGACTCCCCGCCGAATCCCTGTACCCATCCGGTGCCTCGGGATCGATTTCGAAATCCCCCTCCCTCGGCGCGAAGAACTGCTTCACCAACGTGCAGCGGCTGATATAAGGCGGTTGTGTGAGGAGGTTCTTCACATACGCGTCGAGATTGTGGCGGCGCCCATCGGTAATCTGGTCCGTGACGTAATTTACGGGTCCGGGCATGTAAGGGAGTGATCGCTTCTGGGTTCCCGTGTTGCCGGCCTCGGCGGGGAATTCGGTCAGGAGGGCGATCTGGAAGTCGTAGAAGTCCTCGTAGTAGCGCTGGAGCTCCCAGTGGCGGCCATCCTCGAGGGCGGCTTCGATCACGAACCAGTACTTGTCTTCGCTGAACCAGTAGCGGGGGATGTGCGCGGAGACGGGGGAGAAGAGTTGGGAGGTTGCGGCGGCTTGTTGTTGTTGTTGCTGGGCGGCGTATTGCTGGTTTTGTTGTTGTTGCGATTTGGCTTGTTGAGATTGGCGGAGTTGTTGTTGCTAGGAGGTGTTAGCCACATACATCTGTCATACGTCTATACCCAGCTCTGGATAAACTCACATATTGGCCATTCCCCGCCTGCTGGCTCTGCCGCTGCTGCGCCTGCTGCAAGCTCATCCGTCCCATATCCTGCTCCATGCCCTGCTGCTGCTGCTGCTGATTCGCGGCCTCAAACTTGCCGAGCGTAATACTACTATTCTTATAATCCGCCGCCATCTTCTTCCACTCTTCCACCTTTGGCACCCCCGCCCTCTGCACCGCCTCCTGCGAATCCGGCACCGCCTGTCCCGTCGTCATATCCCTTATCTCAATAAAGCTGACAGGAATCAACCCCGGGCCTCCTAGCCGCCCAATCGGCTTCGCAACAAACCACTCCGGGTTGCTCTGCGCAATCACAATAATTGCCTCCCCCGCCTTCGCCTCGAGCTCATCCGGTCGCTCGGCCGCAAAATCGTACATGACGATTCCATACACCATCGCTCCGCTCCCCTTCCCCAGCTTCGACAAGCGCTGCGGATTCGGCCCCGGCGCCGGCCCTGTATTGGTGTCCGAGTACCCCGAGTCGTGATCCGGAGCCTTCGCGCTCCCCGCCGACCCCGTGCTCTGCCCGCTGTCGCGCTCCGTCTTTCCGAGCGCCTGGAAGAAGTTCACGGGTACGAGGCCGCGCGCGTCCGGCACGGCGGGGTTGCACGCCTCGTACCAGTCGGTGTCGTTCTCGCGCGCGATGACGTGGAAGAAGTCGCCTTTCTGGAAGCTGAGCTCTTGCGCGTTCTGCGCTTCGTAGTCGTATAGTGCGCGAATTACCTGGAGGTGGCGCGAGGCACATGATCAGTCTTCTGTGTGGGATGGGGGATTGGAGTGGCTCGTGAAAGAGGGGGAGGGGATGGAGACGTACCTTTTTCGGAGGGACGATGGCGACGGCGGACTTGGGAGTCACAGAGATGTGTTGCAGTTTTGAGTCATTCTTGTCGCCTTTGATAGAGCGGCGAAGGGCCTGTGTGTGGTGGTGTCAGTTTTCCTTTGTCCTCGACATTCTCCCCCTCACTCATCGCATAGTGAGAGAGGAGTGTATGACGCGCAGCAATTGACGGACCTTCATCGTGACCTAAGTTTCCTTTCCTTTCCTTTCCAGAGACGCGCAAATGTGACAAGAAGTTTCGCGAGTTGATGCTTTCACAGCAGGTTGTATGGTATCGTAGAGTTGGGAATGCGGGCGCTACTGTAGGATGTAGGAGTTGTATCTCTCTCTCGGTGACGTTTTTTCTCAACGGGTCTCGGCGGGCGTGCAGCGTGCGTCTGCGCGTTTATAGACTGGCGTCCCCTGGGAGTCTGGCGGCAGCTGTTGTCATGAACCTAGAAGTCGCAGAAACTGTACATACAGTATCGCGATAGCGGGCGCGGGAAGTCGGAGGGGAGAGAGAGAGAGGGGGGGTCGTTTGGAACGGGGCCGTGTCTTAGATGCGGGGTGGGATGGGATAGGAAGAGGTCGAGATTGTGGGATTTGGTGTATATATATATGTATGAGAGAGAGAGCGTGTGTATATATATTTATTAGGAGGGGATTTTGGGGTGGAAGAGATAAAATGCCAGGATATTTGAGGGTAGGTAGGTAGGTAGGTAGGTAGGTATAGAAGGGTTTAGTCAGATAGAGAGAGTTATAGTGTGTGCAGTGAGTAGTGTGTAGTGTGCAGTAGAGTGGAAGTGGGATTGGAAGTAGAAGTAAGTACTGTTGTGGGTGTACTTTGGTGAAGAAGGGACTTTCCGGAGATTTGTGTGGGAAGGGATGGGAATAGGGAGGGAGAATTGACAAGGAGGGGAGGAGAGGGAGTGGAGGGGGAGGGGAGGGGAGAGAGAAGGGGCTGTGGGTTGTTGTGGTATGTAGATGGTAAGGAAGGTGGTGGTGTAGGTGGGTTGTGGGAAGGCTGGGAAGGCTGTAAATGTGGGTTTTTGTATGTTATGGGTGTGTCAATGGGGGGTGTCTTATGGGTGATTTGTGGTGACTGTGGGTGATGTATCTGAGTGACTGTGGTGTCTGTGGTGTCTGTGGTGTCTATGATCTATGGCTGTCTGTATCTCTGGACTGTCTATGGATGCATCTCTATTGTCTATAGTTATGGCTGTATCTCTGGTGTCTATGGATGCCTGTGGGTGTATGTATGCATGAGTGTGTCTTTGGGTTGTCTATGGTGACTGTGACTGTGTGTATCTTGGGTGTGACTGTGACTGTGGGTGAATCTGTGGATGTCTGTGGGTGTATCTCTGTGGGTGTTTCTCTGTGTCCATGGTGTCTGTGGGTTGTATTTACTATGGATAGTGTCAATGGGTGTATCTACTATGGCTGGTGTCTATGGGCTGGGCTGTATCTCTTGTCTATGGCTATAGCTGCCCATGTGGGTGATGATAATACTCCCTCTCCCCTTGGGCTCAAAGTACCCTCCCATACAATCTTATATGTAACAATACATCACATCACATCAAATCAGGTTGGGCGTTGGTGGATGTCTGCTAGTGCCGTGCGTTCTACAAAGGGGGGGGCCTACAGTAAGTACGGAGTAGGTCAAGGCCGTGTCAATTTGCTTGCTTTGCCTCTAACGTACGCTTCTGTGGCTTATTATGCTCTTATTCTGGTCTAACTGTGGTCTAGCTGTGCTCTACTGGTGCTCTCCTCGAGCCTACTACTCCCAATCCCGCTGCTCTACTGTACGCTTCAGCACACCCAGTGCGCGTACTCCCCTCATCGCATAGGGTGGATGGACCCTGTGACGGACGGACGACGGGGGGCTGGGACCGCCGTTGGGATAATGTGGGCACAATGCGGTCCTGGCAGTACCATTGCGGGATTAGAGGTCCAATCCAACTTGCCCATCCCAATATCCCCCCCAAGAGGTTTTCCCACTGGACCAGCTCTAGAGCACAAGTGATCGGCGGGAGTGATTTACCGACGGACTGGCAGGATGAGCTGGATGGGACGGAGGAGCTGGTGTGATCCTACGAACCGCTGGACGGCTGGAGGAGCTGTGATGTCCTGCGAACTACTCTGCAGGATAGGTACAGTGCAGATAGGACCTGTATGGCCGGCGGAGGGAGATAGCATTCTCCATCCAGCCCTACACCACCACCATAATCAGCCACCCACCCATCAGCCGCGTCAAAGCGACCTCCTTTGCACATGCATGTTCGTCCATATATCACTCACTCAGCCATCCTCTGCCGCGCGCCCGCCCATCGTCAACCTCACCACCACCACCACCACCACCTCTATCTCCTCGGCATATCTCCCCCCCTCCCCAGCCCCGCGTCCCATAATGCGGATCCCCCTCCTCCCGTCTTGGAGGGAAGTAAAAAAAAAGCCACGCCATGCGATGCGATGCGATACCATGCCACATAGCCATGCCATCCACATGGCACCCATACCCCCACCCTACCCCCCTAGTAACCCCGAAGATATGAAACGTCCATCGCCACTACAACCATGCCTTCTGGGCGTCGCTTCCCCAGTAGACCAGCAGAGCAGGGGCCCCCAGGGACAAGAAAAATAGAAGAATCTCGAACACTGTGGGACTAGGACCTGGGACGGCCGGGACGGACGGACGGGGGATATGGGCACATGGGCAACATGGAACATGGGTTCATCACATCTACGGCATTTCATGGGAATTAGGGATTGATAAAAATTCGACTTTTTCTATTACTTGCGCTTCTTTTCTAGAGTAAAAACTCCTTTCTCTATCCCAATTGCGCCAGATCATAAAAAAATGAAGCAAAAACGCCACTGTCTGCCACCGCCGCCGCTGACGACGGACGACGACGACTTGGATGCCTGCCTGGTATATAGCTCAACCCCCACAAAATAAACTCCTACTGCGCCGAGTGCGTGGGTGATGGTCGATGGTCGGTCGGGGAATCGAAAATCCTCAAAAAGTGAACCACATGCTAACCCCCCTGATCCCCTCTGACCATGCATGCATGCTGCCGCTACCCCGCGTCGCGTCGTAAGAGATGCTCATGCGAATCCCCATCCGATTATGCACAGAAAGTCTCCCCAACATCCCACGATCAATCTGTCCGAACTATGGTATTTATATCTCTTTTGCTGCCCCCTGCAACCCCCAAACGGCGGAACGGCGAAAATAACATACCCCTCATTTTGCTGTTAGAGTATACATCTAAGCTAGGCGAAACGACGGATAGGAAATGTAGAGAGGGAGAAGTAGTAGGATCCAGGGTTCGTCCTGGAAGCTTGTGACTTTGTGACAGAAATAGGTTAGGTGAATTGAGGTATGCCGACGAGGTGCTTGCAAATAAATTAAAAAAAGGCTGGAGTGCTGGACAAATGACGCTGACGTGGACTTGTGATGCGGACTGACGGACGAGGACGAATGTGAAGACACTTGTGGTCGCTATTCACCTTTCTAGGAAGGTCCAAGGAATGGCCACATATTCGAGCCAGAGTCGGCAGCATAGCAATGATTGCCTGGGTATATGCCACCGGTTCATATCGTACTCTCGGAAGGGTCCTGTGGGACAATAAAACAGAAATCGAACACCGGGGTTTAGATCTGGCCCTTGATGTCAATCTTTTTGAACGCCGCATTCTTGGCCACGTCGAACATGCCGCCGGTCTTGCCGGTAAGTAGTAGGATGCCATCTTCTCGCTCTTCAAGTAACGCTCGGCCGCCTTCGTAAGTACAGATAAACTGTGCCGCCTCGGCGTCCGATTCAAAGCCAAGCTCTTCAGTAATAAAACGCAGTTTCACATGTGGTTTGTATCTATCAAGATGTTAGCCATGAACATATCCATACCACAGGGTGGGGGTGACTTACGCTCTGCAAATGTTAGACAGCGCAGCCAGACGCTCTCTTTCGACAAACATATCCATGAGATATGCGCCCATGTTCGGGGTGTCGAGGTATAATCTGAAAAATCTGTGGTAGTTTCCTAAAGCGAGCGCCGAACGGACGCCGAGCGCATGCTTGATCGCCAACTCGTCCTTTTCTGCTATGGTTAGATCCGCCAACACGTCGTTCAGGGCCGTCCGGTTGCATGTGTGAATAAAATAAAGTATACGGTACGCCTTGAATTCGATCGGGTTTCCGCCGAGCTTCTGCGCGTACAGAGCGCGCAACTGTGTTTGGCACTGGTTATACTCACCGAGGTCCCCCTTCTCCAGAGCAATCCGGGCATGAATCTCGTAGACTTCTACGGTAAACTTGTTCCGGATGTGCTGCACGGTAAGATCTTGACGGAGAGATTTGAACTGGTCGCAGATGTATGAATAATTGCTCTCCTTCCTCCACTTCTTCTTCAGGAAATCCAGTGTTTGTTTCAAGATAGGCTCTGGGCGGACATGATCGGGGTTTGGAGCAGATGTAAGACGGAAGTATCTCTTTTCGAGAGTCTGGCAACGGCCAACAACAGGTCCGGAACTGGCGTCCAGAACGGGCGACTCCTTGTAGGTAGATTTATAGCCGCCATCAAATCGTCGTTGTCGCTTCTCAAGGTTCTTCTGGGACTTACTTGCCTTGGTCGATAGGCCATCCGGGAGAGGCTTGGTCGCTACATTGAGAGGGCCACCATTCGGTGCAAATGTTATTCGGTCTTCAAAACCGGTGTGTGTGTTAGTTGTACGCCATGGAGGATTTGAAGACACATCTTGCTCGTCTTTTCCATCCAATACCTGCGATTTCCGCTTTTTCGACTCGGGGCTCGAGATGAAACGCCCATTAACCCAACGGGGAGATGGTTCTGCTAGAGCAGCTCGTTCAGTTCGCACCATATCCTGAGGCAAAGGTAGGTTATCCCAGTCTACACTCGTAAGGGTATCCGTTTCAGTGGCGGACGAGATGGTCGCCTTGAGTTTCGCCTCCATATCCGCTCTCGGGACATCGGGATACAGGTTACTCGGATCGAACGCCCTCTGTACATAGCTGCGCACTGATGTTGGCCATTCGATTCTCTTTTTTGTCGGCGGCTTCGCGGGGGCGGCCACGGGAGGAAGTTGGGGGTATTGGGCTACATGTACGAATTGTGGAGCTTGGGTTGGAGGATAGTTGAATGACTGTCGAACTTGCACTGGTGTATATGCTGTAGTGCCTTGAATGATGTTAGGTCTTTCCTCGAGTGATGCCTTTCGGATGGACTCACTTGCGGCCATGGCTGCGTATGATGGCTGGGTGCCAGGCGGCGGCGGTAAGGGCGCCCACGAGTTGTGCGACATCGACATCTGGCGCGGTGTCGCGATGGCGACTTTTCCGAAAGTGCTTTATATGTTAGTAGAAGTGTGAGCGGATCAAGTAGAGCTCAGAGTTGATAATGTCATGGGAGAGTAGACAAGTGAAAGAGTTGAAGTCTGGATGAGTGAAGGACGGTGAAGTAGGCTGAGGATAAAGTTGCTGGAGGAAGGCGCTGTCCATGCCCAAACCCTCGCCTAAAAGTATAAGGTCACGTGGATTGACCTTGGGGTTTCTCATCCTTATCGGCCATCTTGTGTGTTGACGAGATGGCCGATAAGGATGCCATCATCGGCGTCTTCACCCAGTTGCCTTTTCTTACACCTTCCACGCTTCCACACACAACTCCACTAGCGCATGGATATCCTGGATATCCCGAATGTCCCTCAAGCAGATTGACCTCACTACTGCGCTGAGGCCATCTCTACTTCCAGACGAAGTCCTCCTATTTGTCCAGGACAGTGTTGGGCTCTATGAGGGGTAATTAAGAACCACATGCGACCCCAAACTTTTTGAACCATGGACACTTATTCTCTGTTCCAGGAAGTATAAAATACCAAACCACCAGGATGGGCATGTCTACTTGACGTCCCATCGGATCTACTATGTGGACAATGAAGAACCGCGAAAGAACTCCGTAGGAATCGACTTGAAGGAGGTTGAGCGATTTGAATTCTATGTAGGCCGCGCAAGTCACTGTAGAAGACCCCAAGCAGCGGCTGACTTCCTGAATAGGCAGGCTTTCTAAAATCTTCGCCGAAGATTACCCTCGTTCCTAAACCTTCCAAGAGATTATCCACCCAGAACAGGGTCACCGCGCTGAACTCGCCCTCTCGAAGCGCTACATCCTCACCAACAACCCGTACAGACAGCCCCTTTCACCTACCACCTGCTGAGCCAACTGCAGCAAGCAATGCCACTTGGATTTGCCCTATATGCACATTTTCGAACCCTGTACCGTCAAACTTCGATCCTTCTACGGCCACAATACACACACCGCTGCCGCCATGCTTAGCCTGTGGCATAAAGCCACCTTTGGCTCATGTGCTCAAAGCCGCCATAGTCAGTGCAGCGAATCGCCCAGCGGCTCCTACGAATATTTTGCGTACTCCAGTACCAATACGAAGTCGAGATGAGGGTGCACGACCACTTTCAGAGGCACGTCTCCCAGAACAGGGGCGTCTCCCCCAGGGATCGGTTGAAAGTAGCAGTGACGCGGCTTCATTTCAGTGTCCCAGGTGTACATTCCTCAATCACCCGTCATTGCTCTCCTGTGAACTCTGTGGTGCTCCTCTGATATCTAACGAAGCCCCAAAAGGCTTCAAGCAGCCGCAGGAGTTCCGACCCGAATCACCAGGCCCGACCCTTCAAGGCTTTAGTGCGTCCGCGGTCAGGACACCAGAAAATCTTAAAATCTCTTTCCGAGCTGGAGGAGAGAAGATATTCCACGAGCGTCTAAAAGGGGCAATGATTCAACGGAAGTGGCTTCTACATGGTGCACCGCCAGTGCCAAAGCCGAGCCCGTCGGGGGAACCCTTACCAACTGATAGAATAAAAACTGTCGGCATTGCTGGGCTCGAACAGCGGCGTTTAGATATGCGCAGAAACAACGAAGTGGTTATCGGCAACGCTTTTGAGGACCTCGAAGCCCTTATGGCGTCGGCAAAGGAGATAGTCGCCCTCGCCGAAACGTTCGCCCGTCAGACCAACAGCGGCAGCGAAACCGGCTCTGAGGAGAGCACACTTCTCGCCCAGTCCGCCACCGCTCTCGGCCTTGTGACTACAAAAGACATGCTCGGCGGCGGCAGCAGCTCTGAGACTCTCTATCTAAGCGAGCTGTCGCGCAACCTTGCAGAGTTCCTCACTGACGACGCCACTGGCGTTCTCCGCAAAACAGGCGGTATCATCAGCCTCGTCGATCTGTGGGCGCTGTTCAACCGCGCACGAAATGGCATCGAGCTAGTCTCACCCCGTGACCTTGAGCGGGCTGCTCGACTCTGGGAGTCGCTGAAGCTGCCTGTGCGACTTCGCGAGTTCAAGAGCGGGGTGCTTGTCGTACAAGGCACGGATAGGACAGATGAGAAGACTGTAAGGGCGATTCTTGCCTGGATGCTTGAACAGCACACTGTGCCACCCGAGAAGGATGTTGCATGGGACTGGCGCACGTTTGGAGTCGGTATCTCGGCACGGGACGTCGCAGCACAGTTTGGGTGGAGCATTGGCGTGGCGGTGGAAGAGCTAGAGATGGCGGAGGAGAGAGGAGCGCTATGCAGGGCTGAGAGCATAGAGGGAGTCACGTTCTGGGAAAATAAGCTTGTAGATGATGATATTCCTGATGGACTGGCACGGAGCAGCGGGGTCGCCGTGTGAGACCATGAGGGATATTCGCATTGGGTGGTATGAATATTCACTCAGGAATGGATCTCCATATAACTCATGTTTCGCGGTCCTTACATAAATATTGCAAAATGTAATCGAGGTTCACCGCACCTTGGCTATCAAACAGACCGAATCCAGCCCCTTGCTTCGTTCCTGCCCGAGTTGTCATCACAATGTTTCCTCCCAATCACAAAAGGCATGTTATCACATATGACATATCATTCGTTCCACCCGGTCCGAAACCATAATCTCACAGGAAACAAATAGCCTACGCGTATATAGTGGGGTAGCTTCCCGATCAACATATCAGTTGTCACAATGGGTAGTACATGTATCACAATGGCTTAGTTCGGTGTGCCAAAATGATGTGTCGGCGTATATGGGGGCCGAAACATCTACATATCCTCACCTACCACTGGTCCAACCAGCACAAGTGAATCTATAGCCCCTTGCATCTGAGGTGCAGCTACATCAACCAGCACCGATATGCATACACAAAGTCAGGTTCGAATGCTGATAAAGTCTCGAAGGTAATTAGGCAGTAAAAATACATTTTCTTATATAGTCTCATGCCTCCCGGCTGTTACCAATGTAATCTATATGCACATCCCAGATCCTTCCAACGGGGTGACAAGAACGTCGTTTAACTCAACCCATTGAAGCTCACGTTCTATACCGTATAACGCACTCATCTCACGTTATATATAAACTGTACAACACCCCACCTCAATGTCCCGTCCCATCCCTCCTTACCTCTTCTCCCGCATCGCCACGCTCAACATGGCGGCCCCCAGCAGCGCCAAGCACATCTCACCAACGCTCTACGCGCGCCTTGCGTCGTTTCAACTCATCCGGAAAGCTCTGGTCCTCGCGCCGCCGCTGCTTGTGTTTCTCCTCTCGCTCTATTTCAGAAGGCAATTCCAGTTGTGGCGCGGGAAGATCGGTCTCGAGATCGGGGTGTGGGGGTGATGTGATGCGTCTTTGAGTGTCCTTGCGTCGAGCGGATACACGTGGATGGAGTTAACGGCGGCCTGCCTACTGTTTCAAAACGTGCTGTTGGGATTCGTGTTTATGGGAATTGTTCTTGGCCTGGCGTTCTGGACTGATCGATTGGGAACGAGAAGTTGCTCAGATGCTACGGATGCTCTATAGAAAAAAGACAGGCTGTGACAACGGGAGTAGGCTATTCTCCTGGTACAGGCAAGACTATTTTGGGGATGTAGTACCGGAGGGGGCCATGATGGCGCCAAGATAATGAAGTTCAGAGAGGGAAGGGGGTATTGGCGGTGATGGAATGGCTACAGGAGGCGTTTACAGGAGGGCAACTTTGTTGCTGGAATGATCATCACATCGAAAGCTAGCATCTATCTGGAGGAGATCGGACTGTTGATGACTGGATGCACAGGAGGGCCCGAGGTTTTGGGAAGGGGTACAGTTGACGAGAAGTGGCGCCGATGAGATGGATTATTCTTTGGCTCACGTTCACAAAGAATGGTAGATAAAGTCAGAGATATGGTGGTGGTCAATATGACATTGATTCTCAGTTCATCTGCCTTAGTCCCGAGTGCGACGAAAACTTCCTCCGCCCATTAACCCTTCTCGATTTGCACATGGACGTCCATCTTCATTTCTGCTCAGCGTTGGAGGGATTGGCGGCCGTTAACCTCGCCTGTAATGTACGAGCCGTCGGTGGAGGCACCCGCGTTCGCGAGCTCAGTGCCGTTACCTTCCTCGGTGTAGTACCTATAAAGTTAGCATCAGCCACATTTGGTGGGCGAAGAATACTGTACATTGAAGCAGGGGCTTGGAACTGGTAAACGTTAGATCTCAAGCATATGATGATTGTTTTGTGCGAGGAGCAACAAAGATTCACGGGTGGAGTGCAGTAATACATACGTGCGATCTGAAATAACAGAACAAACTGAACATCGTCACAACCCCAACTGCGAGGAAAATGCCAATAACCAGACCCACAGTATCGGCGGCTTGTGCCATTGCTTCAGGCTTGCTTTGATTGTTCAGGAAGATGAATTGTTCTTGTGGATTTGCTTGAGAATGGTTGATTTGGTGAGTGAGGATTGATGGTGATGCTTCTTTGTGGTTGTGGAAGGTGGTGAAGGCTCTGTCTTGGATGGTCGAAGATGGTGAAGAGTTGGAGGAAAGAAAGAGGAAATTGTCTCTCGCCCTCCTTTATATAGGAGCGGGGCATTGTTATGCCCCGCAGGCGAGAGCGTGTCGACCTCACCGTCGCCATCGGCGCGGCGACGGTGAGGTTGCGTCCCACGTCTCCCCTGAGCCACCTGTGGGTGGCTCAGGGGCGACGTGGGATGCGGAGAACGAAAGAAAAGAAAGGAAAGGAAAACGACAACAGCAACAAAAGATAACCTACAAATTCGATTGGTATAATCATTCAAACTCAAGATATATAAGTATTATAATATAAATTGCAGATATAGATCTTTTATAACTTCAAATTCTGATATGGTTGTATGCCAGATTCATGGGAGCGGGTGGCTCAGGTGAGAAGCGAAAAAAACAAAACGAAAGGGAACAACAACAACATTTGATAGCCTGCAAATACAATTAGTATATTCCTTAAACTTAAGATATGAAAGTATTGCAATATACATTACAATTATTGGACTCTACTCTTCAAATTCTGATATAGTTGTATGCAGGATCTGGAATGTCTGTTGCCATATTTGTCACATCCCGCTTGATTTCGGGCCTATAACCCCAGTTTGAAAACAGCCGCTTCTTATGGGAAGTGGTGTAATTCGCCTGCATTATCTGGCAAGGACAACACCGGCCTGAGGTATGGCAGCGTGTTGGACTTTCCCATGGGTGAGCTGGACGTACGTCGGCCTGAGGACTGGAAGTTTTGAGATCTCTTTAATGTGAGTGGAGTGGTATTTATAACCCCCATCCTTCTCTCTCTTCTTCTTTCTTTCTCTCAATCCACCAACTTCAACAACTCATCGAGAGGTAAGATAAACTCCTTTATCAGCGTCGTTTGTCATCAGAACATGAGCCCACAAACAACTCCTATCTTTCAATCTTGATCTAACGTCGTCGTTAAGTTTGGCCCTTCGATCTGAACAACAACCCTTTCAACAACTCTACCAGAGCACCTCTTTGGCAAGACTTCTTGGTGAGCCAAGCCATAACGACCTCACATTCAAACATCAGCTAACAATCCAAGATTCAACCTCGACTTTAATCTTCCGTGAATCAAGTCAGTCTCATCACCAACCATCCACCCCCTCCAAACTAACCACCCCCACCCCAGAATGAAGTTCCACCTCCTCCTCGTCTTCCTCGCGGCACTCCTCCCAATCGCCAATGCCTGCCTCTCCATCGCGGTCGAATGGAACCCCGACACCGGTAGAGTGCAAGGTATGGCCAGAGACAACGGCGTGGTCCGCTGCACCATGGACCAACGCAAGTACGAGAAGCAGCTCTGGTTCGACTGCCAGCCCGGCTTCGCCGCCTACATCACCCGCGACTTCAAGCTCTTTGCCTGGCACGCCCACGATGCGGACTACCGTATCGACGCCTACCACGGTGTCGATCTCGCTGGTATTGAGCTTCGCTGGGCCAATTCCTTTGGCTGCACTTGTGGCGGCTGGAAGTGTGAGTGCTTCTTTTTGTTTTGGGGTGGAGAGAAGAGATGAAGCTAATTATCTTTGTTTATATAGGTCTGTACAACAAGGCGGACGACAAGAGTGATAGTTAGGGGTCTGCTTTGGACTGCCGAGATCAGATCGCTGGTTTCAACGGCAAACACTATGAGCGCACACTATGAAATAGGAAATGGATTTTGAGACTTGAGAAGCGTAGGATAGGCACACTGGCGCTTAATCAAACTACTTACTGGGGAATATTCTGTGGTGTGTGATGTGATACAGATGCTGTGATTTGATTGTTGTGACATCTCGTCTGGAACCCTAACTTGTGTCTCTGTTGCGCAGAGTTGCCAGGCGCCAAAATGCACAGTTTCGGCCAACTTTGGCCGACATAAGGTTAAATATAATCTATTGTAGGTATCTCTGAATCGAGAGGAGAAAATACTCCAATGTGCTAATAAATCAAAGGTCTAGCCTCGGTGATTACTTTCCTTCATCACCGCTCATAACCACCCCTTCTAGCCAAATCCAACTCCGTCACACCCCGTCATTAAACACTCATCTTCATCGCAATCCCCTTGTGCGGCTTATACCCCACGACCTCAAAGTCCTCCAGCGTCCACCCATCCACATCACCCCCCTTCTCCCGCTTAATCTCCAACCCCGGAAACTCCCTCGGCTGCCTCTCCAACTGCACCTCCAGCGCCTCCACATGATCAAGATACACATGCGCGTCGCCCATCGTATGCGTGAACGTCCCTGGCACGAGGTCACACACATGCGCCAGCATATGCGTCAGCAGCGCATAACTGGCAATATTAAACGGCACTCCCAAGCCCATATCGCAACTGCGCTGGTACAGCTGGCAATGCAGATGACCCTTTGGCTTCTCTCCCTCCTGGCCCTTCTTCGCGCGTGGATAACTGACGTAGAACTGCGCGAACATGTGACACGGCGGCAGAGCCATGATCTTCAGATCCGCGGGGTTCCATGCACTCAGGATAATTCGGCGGTCATACGGCGTATGGCGCAGCTTGTGAATCACCTCCGCCAGCTGATCAACACCCTGTCCCGTGTAGTCCGTCTGGGCGTCCACGTACTTGGCCCCAAAGTGCCGCCACTGGAATCCGTAGACAGGGCCGAGATCACCCTCCACGCGCTCTGTGAGCCCGATGCTATCGAGGTAGGCGCGCGATCCATTGCCATCCCAGATTTTGATGCCGGCTTCTGAAAGGGGGAGGGAGGAGGTGGAGCCGCTGATGAACCAGAGGAGCTCGGCGAGGACGGCGCGGAGGAAGACGCGCTTGGTTGTGAGGAGGGGAAGGAGGGGGGAGCCGCTGGGGGAGGTGAGGCTGAATTTTAGGGGAGTGGGCGCGAAGATAGAGAGGGTGCCTGTGCCGGTCCTGAGGGGGTGTTAGAGGTCTCTTGGAGTAGGGGATGAGATGGGACATACCTGTCGGGCCTGTGTTCGCCGTTGTCGAGGATGTCGCGGATAAGCTTGAGGTATTGGAATTCTTCATGATTTGGGTCCGCCGGAGGTTCAACTGGCTCAGAGATGCTGCTTGTAGTCGCAGCGTTATATGCCAGCGCGTTGTCTATTGCCGCCGCCTTATCACTCGCATTCGTGTTCGCCACGTCTACCGGCGGCATTGACTCTACTGCTGCGGAAGCCATTATTCAATGTGTTCTCTCGCAATTGAGGCACCTATTCTGTTTATTTATCAGAATTTTACTTCTGTTGTCCCAGCCTTGTCAAACGAGGAAGTTGCGCTGCTTAATATCGACTTTTATTATTTTGTCCTTGATGCATTGGAGGGGTGGCCCAGGTCGACCCCGCGACGCGTTAAGTGCAATTTCTAGCGCGTCGCGGCCGCAAGTCCACAAATGTGCTCAGCCTCGTGGCGCCGATACAGGACAAGGCTGTGAATCCCGAACCCCAACTTTCCCCAATTTACCTTGGTGGGACCCTGGTGTGGATCATCAATGCATCCGAGTCCATACATTGTGATGGGATTAATAAATATTGATATACCTTGATGGCTTTGATGGAAAGATGGAAGGATGAAGATATTACGAACTGAAAACAGAAACACCCATAGCCTTGTACTACCGTGCCGCTCTCTTCTCCATTGTATGCATACGGTATCGATTCTGGTGATGTGGTCCATTGACAGTCCCCAATATCTTGTACCCAGGGCCTCACTAATTGGGAGAAGCAGAAGTTTTAGAGGAGGGTGGTAAGTATTATATATTTCTGTTTCCGTCTCATTCGTTGTCTCCGGATCTTGTAGGAGACCCTATCTAATGGTCCCCTATTCGTGTCAAACTAGCCTCTACAACGCTATATACTACGCTATATGCTATGCTCTGTGTGAACTCCATCTATGCCCATGCTGCACCAGACCGCTCATTAATAATCATACACTCTGCTGAAGCAGTCCCAAACGCCCTCAACGCCTCGCCAAGCATTACAAGTCCAAGTACCCAATGAACCCCTTTTCATCACGCCCACATCGCCATTCCCTTACTCCGCACGTTCTTATTGATCACGCCGCCAACCCCAAACGCCGGCACAATCCGACACACTCGCGCCGCAGCACTGATTCCCCAATTCTTCCAGATGATGGAGGCCCTACTCCTCCACCCCTCGCCATGCGGTCTGTTGTAGAGGTCCAGGCCGAGCAAATGCATCGGTGTGCTGACCAGCTGGATCGCTGCGGGCGCCGCAAACTGCGCGATTGTCTGTGCGCTAATTGTCTCTTCCAGCTCGCCCATGTGTCGCGACATTGACGGGCCTATTAGTGGTGGGATGTTAAACGATGCGAAGATAGTCATGCAGTCACGCATGGCGAAGAGTATCATGGTGGGCATCGGGACCGGGCGAGGAGGTCCACTCGGACCGAAGAGCTGTGCGAACTTGCGGTCTTTGATGAGGCAGAGGCCAATGTTGGCGGTGGAGGAGGCAGCGAATTTTAAGGGGCCAGAAGTAACGAGCGTCGCGTCCTGGGCGGTCACGGTGGATGTGATGGTGTCGAGGGTGTTTGCTGTTAGGTAGGTGCCGCCGTAGAGCATGCATATTAGGCCGAAGGGTTTCGAGAAGAACATCGATTTCGGGGATAGTATTAAGGAGCGAAAGGATGCCCTGAGGGACTCTTTTATCGGGGCACGGCCTGATGCGTTTTCCATAATGGCTCTGTGGGGGAATGAGTCAGTGAAAGTCTTCATTCGGTCAACGAGGAAGGGGTGACCGTGGTCTGGGTCAGGCTCAGATAGGATTTAGTAAGACAGCTTTCTGCTGATTCTTGAGGTAATGGCAGGCAACATAGCTTCGTAGCCTTTGAAGTTAGGCAGCTGGAGGTTACACCTTGAGGATTCTGTTTATACGTACTTATCTATGATTGTGATGAGAGGTGCAACTGTGACGGCGGATGCGAACGCGGCAGTAGCATCCGTGGCCAGTCGTGGAATTAGGTTCTTGGTGTTCCATTTTGCGTTGGAAGGAGCCACCTGCGAAGACTTCTCGTCGTTCATTTTGACGTCCATTATCTTTGAATCCATCGTCGTCGATTGTGCAACGATATATGGAATGCATTGCACCGAGTACGGCGGCTTTCATCGGACTTTAACTCGCTTATTTATTTTGTCGGAGTATCATCGGAGTTTGGCTCGCCCAACAAGAATTTGTATGTTCCGGATGCAACGGAGAAGCAGTTTCGCCGAAATCTCATAACGAAAGTCAATCCCCAAGGTCACCCACCATAAGCTCCAACGAGCGCATCACTGAAACATGACGGAACTCAACGACCTTATAGACACAGTCTTGGGCTACTTGTCCCAAGGCTTCGAGAATCTCAAGCACAATGCCGAACACTATGCATCCATGTCTCTCAAGGAATGGGTCCGCATCGTAACCATCGTGGGCGCCTACCTCCTCCTCCGTCCGTACCTAAGCCAATGGGCCGCCAAACTACAATCCGCGGAGCACGACAAGGAAATCGACGCCGATGAGTTGGCCACCCCGGCCACCGGGCCCAAAGCAGCCATCAGCGCCAACTCCCTGCGCGGACAAGTCGAGGTGCCCGAGGATAGCGAGAGCGACGAGGACACGGGCGAGGCTGTGGAGGCGACGGCGCAGACGACCAGTGCAAACTGGGGCAAGAAGGCGAGGAAGCGCCAACGGGCGATGATCAAGCGGATTATTGAGGCGGATGAGAAGTTGAGGGCCGAGACGGAGGCGTATGATGATGAGGAGGATAAGGACATCGAGCAGTACCTGACGTAAGGGCGGGGGCTACAGTGTAGGAGGATATATGACTACGGAGACTGGCATCATGGCTTTACGGGGGATGTTGGAATAGCGAAGGAGGCGTTTGGGAATGGGGAATGGGAGTATAGAAATGAGGCATAAGAATTATTAATAATTATACATTGCAAACCGCCCTACTCATAAGTATTGTACAGTCGAAAGGCGGAATATGGGCGGCAAAAAGTAGATATGATGATCGTTCATATCCAGGCACTGATAGCCATCCATTCGTTGTTGGTCTCGCCCCCCGCAGAAGTGCTTATGCGCCACTTCATCCTTCGCTGTCATGGTAGCCTCGCAGCGCATCAAGTCGTACAGTCTAGTGGACTGCTGTCCTAGAAGACTAGTTACAACATTGCCCAGTTGACGCCACCGCCTGCAGGACGCCAAATCTAGTCACTTGCCGGTGAAAACGTACGGCGGCAACTCTTAAAAATGACCTCGAAAAGGCGGCTTCACAAACCACTATAGCCCATCGAGCAGCTAGGAAACAAAAGAGCCTACCCCAGGCGTCTCGCTGCCACCGCTTGAGCTCTAGACTCGCCTTCGTTGCGCCGAGCTACTGCATGTAACGCTCAGCCTCACGGCCTTGTCCGCAAAACAAGGGCATGCATGCATCATCATGCATACAAAGAGGTCCACCTAGAACTCAACACTCTACAGCCACAGTGCAAAATCCAGAACTTTGCGCAATACACTGAATCATTCTCAATGACTTGACTTTACGATCTGCTTTTTGCTTTCTGCTTGTTATCGTAGCGACGGCGTTGAGCTTATCGACGCGGGCATTATGGCCCCCCCACCAAGATCGACCTTGGATGCGGACGACTTGCTGTTGAATGGCTTCTTCAAGACGTCGAGAAGCCGGCAAACTGCCCCGTCTCCGTGAGTTCACTACGCCAGGTCTAGTGAACTAAACTAACCAGTACAGGCCTCCCATCTACGGTTCACTGCCAGTTAACCTCCAAGCACCCTCTTTCTACGACACCACTCAACCCTCGAGACCTCGGCAGCCCCCAAGAAAGGGCTGGCCGCCGAAACCACACTGCGAAGATGAGAGAGACTCATTGGTGAGGGAATATGGGGAGGCACACGCGAAGGCTTTCTACGACCCGCCCTCCAAAGGTGTGATAGATCAGCTACCTATCCTCTACGACTCTGAGCTCTCTGTCTCCGATTCTATGAAACCCGAACCCACAAAGCCAGAGCCACCATGCCGGAAAGATGACAACGGCGAGCGACGTTTCGTGCTTGTACCCAAGCCGGATACCCCCTCCTCGTCTGAGAACGACACTGCAGGGAAATCCAAGAAGGTGCCTGTCAAACCAGTCGTCGTCCAAGAACAAGTGAAACCAAGGCACCATAGAGAGGGTCGAAATTCTCCCCCAGAACAAGTGAGACCGAGGCATCGAAAGGAGAGTCGAGATTCCCCTCCGCCCATAACTCGAAGGAGAAGTCGGCAGGATCTGCCTGCTCTGACCACGAATCTCGAGCCTCACCCCCCACCATTCCGCCGTTCGACTTCGGCATACGCTTACAATCCGAGGCATGATGATCCTGGCCGCACGGTTAGAAGCCCGTCAGTGATTCCGTCAGCGAATGCATTCTTATCTCCTGAGTCGTCTGCGGGAAATGGAGGCCTGTTTGATATCGCTGCCCACTCACTACCAAGGAAGTATGGCGGCTCATCCCCAAAGCCTAGCTCACCGATGACCGAGAGGAAACCAACCTTGAGTGGATCGTTGCAGCCGCATATGCTAGGTCATGATAATAGCCGTGGGAGTGTGGACAGCAGACCTAGATCCAGAGGAGATCCAGCAGAGAGACCGCCACGGCCCCTGCCGTTGGGTGATGATAGTAGCTCGCGCCGCCCAGAACGACCAAGTTCGCGGCTCAATCAGCATGACAGCTCTGATCGTCGCCACTCACGGCAGTCCTCAACCCAGTCAACCAGGAGAGGATACGTCAGCAGTGACCTAGATGATAGCGACTCGTCAAACTCCGACAGGCGACGTCGGCGCCACCATCGTCACCCATCTCGCCACGGGGACAGTCTGTATCCTGAAGTCGAACCTTCGCGACATCGCCGGACCGGTTCCAATCAATCAAATCTTGATTTCGGTACTCCCAAGAAAACATACTCCATGCCACTCCCCAGCCCACGAACAGGGGGAGCAGGGCCGCTTGCAGCAGTTGGCCTCGCTGCGGGGCTGTTAGATAGCCAGAGAAAGGACACATACCCACCTGTATTTGAGAATACAGCGGGATCGAGGCCTGTCTCTCCGTTTTCTCCATATGGTTCAACCCCGCAGACGCCTTATACCGCTCCAGGTAGACAAAGGGACCTGAGTCCTGTCGACATCGACCCGTTATCTAAAGACCCCAATGCTACGCTACCGATGCCTATCCCAATGAGTGGGAGAGGACGTGGCGATGTACAATTTCCCAGTCCCTATGGCCAAGGTAGCTATCAATCTGGCACGCCTCCCACGCAAAAGGATTACTGGCAACCGCCTCCCTTCCAACCTCCAGTCGAATCTCCCCACCTCGAGGTCCCGAACATGGGCTACGTCCGCCGATTCTCCGAAGACATGGGCGGCGACGGCAGCATCGCTCCGCTCCTACCCTGTCCCCGCACCTCCCCCGTCCGCGGCAAAGTCGACTGGCTCACCCTCCCCAAATGCCGCGGCTTCAACATCTGCCCCTCCTGCTACCAATCAGCCATCGAACAAACTCCCTTCCACACCTTCTTCGTCCCCGCGCCCTTCCGCTCCCTCGACGACGAGGTAAGCTGCGACTTCGGCACCCAGCCTTGGTACCGCATCGCGTGGCTCCTCCTCAAGAAGAACCGCGCGAAGGACCTTGCTCTCCTCCACCAAATCGCACATATCTCCGCCACCACGCCACCCTGTCTCGGCGGCCACGAGGCAACACGGAAATGGCACTCGGTGCGCGACCCCGACTCAGGACGCCTCGTTCACAACTTTGGCGTCTGCCACGCCTGCTCGCAGGTCGTCGAGGCCCTGCTCCCGGCTACCCGCGGCCTCTTCGTGCCTACCCACCCTGAAGGTGCGCCGGCGCCAAAACGCACCTGCGATCTCCGCTTTGATAGCCCGCGCTTCTTGCACTACTTTGACTCGCTGGAACTGCTCGCTGACCGGGCTGGTGCCTCGGGACGCGCACTGGACTCACGCCCGTTCGTGGGGTTGGCGAAGCGCTTCGTTACTACGCAGCCGTGTAGGGGGGATAAGGATGTGTTTGATTCGCGGTGGTATTCTATCGCGCAGTTGCCTGAGCTGTCTGTGTGCGCTGAGTGTTTCGAGGAGGTTGTGCGGCCAGAGGCGGAGCGGCGGCGTGCTATTGCGGCGATGTTTGCGCTGGGGAGGGAGGTGCCGGTTGGGAATTGTGGGATGCATTCGCGGAGAATGAGGGAGGTGTTTAGGGAGGCTGTTAGGAAGGATGATTATGTGTTGTTGGCGAGGGCGGCGAGGGAGAGGAGGGAGAAGGAGGTTAATAGATTGAGAAGGGAGTAGGGAGGGTGGGAATAGGTGGGATGAGAAATGAGTTACGAATATATGAATACGACAGAGCTAGACTAGATGAATACGAAACATTATATACACCATATATTAAATATTCTCTGAAGCAATGGGTGTCAATTGAACCATTGAAGGAAGCATTTACCTGTCGGCCATTTTTTCATGAATAAGTGATATTAGACAATCTATTTGCGCATTACCACCCTCACTCGTAATGAGCCTTGTTTCTGACGTCCCTGCTCCTCGCGACTCTACAGACAATAGGCCACAAGGCAGCCTCGCCGGCCTTAAACCATAACGGTGGTGAAGACAATGATTGCTCGGGTTTGTACAGATTCTACGGGCCGGGCAGGAGGATCAGATGAACCAATTGACAAGTCTGTATAAGGCGTGACCATATACATCTCCAGTAAACAGCGCGTGGTGAAGGTTCTCATTTTTTGAGGCTGCGGATCTCAACCACATCGAGAATCACTCATCACAACTGAGCTTAACCAACTCAGCTGTTCACCCTGCCTTATCACGGCATTCCCTACTTGGAAAGGCCAACAGTTACATCGTGTCAAGTGAAAACCCGATTTATGCCGATTTTTTAAACATAATTTTGAAGAAAACAGGCGTATTTGAGAGTGAAACATACACCATAGACACTGCCACAACATGGGCTTATCGCGAATTATCGACGCCACTAGCCTTCAACCTGCCAAACAAAAGGCTGCATTTAGCAAGGGTACCGGCAATTCAACCATATTAAAGTATTTAGAACGGGGAAATATACAATATATATATATATAAATTATATAAAATACCTCGGCTTACTGCATTGCGAGTTATAGAGAAAGCCGACTTATCTCCACTTATCGCCACTGTGCTCCTTCCCTCTACCAAACTCTATCTCTCCAATCTTCTCTTTATCTTATCACACAGGTTTCCCCGCAAAATGTTATAAGCCCGCGGAGATGCTCTTCTCAGGATTCACGTCTACTATCTCGAATTTTTCTGTTTCACTCTGTTTTCCCTCTCCCTTCTCTGCTTTCTCTACTCATTATCCTCACAATTCTCATTATCCTCTCTGTACAAACAATTCCTCGCAAAAATGTATTTAACATCCCTCAGACGCCCCCCAATGTGAGTCCTCAATCCATCAGTCATCCTCCTCAAACTTCTAAGACAGTCATCAAATCTGCATCCCGAACACCCTGCACCCCAGTCAACTAAAACATTTTTAGGCGCCTCCCACAACATCTCACCATGCTCCTTCGGACCACCCCCGCCCCAATCCGTCACACCTCCGCCCTCCACACCTCCGCACCCCCGCCCCTCACCCCAGAGCAAACCGCCATCGTGAAATCCACCGCCCCGGTCCTAGAGCAGCACGGCACCGCCATCACCTCCCACTTCTACAAGCGCATCCTCGCCGCCGTCCCGGAGCTGCGCAATGTCTTCAACGCCGCCCACCAGGAGTCAGGTGAGCAGCAGTCCGCGCTTGCCCGCGCAGTCTGGGGTTACGCTGCCCACATCGACGATCTGGATAAGCTCTCCTCGACCGTCTCGCGCATTGGGCACAAGCATGCCGGACTCGGCGTAGCGCCAGAGCACTACCCCATCGTAGGCGAGCACCTCCTAGCCTCAATCCAAGAAGTCCTCGGTGACGGCGTCAATGCCACTGTTATGGAGGCCTGGGCAGCTGCCTACGCGCAGCTTGCCGCAATCTTCATCGGTTTTGAGAAGGGTCTCTATGACGCCGCTGCCGCCACCCCAGGAGGTTGGAACGGCTGGCGCTCTTTCGTGGTCGAGCAGAAGACCCCAGAGAGCGGGGAAATCACTTCGTTCCACCTCGCGCCTCAAGACGGGCTTGCCCTCCCCCCTTTCCGTCCGGGACAGTTCGTAACAATTCGCTGTTTCGTGCCAGGCCTGAACCTCTTCCAGCCGCGCCAGTACTCCCTCTCTGCGCCTCCTGGATCCTCTCGGTTCCGTATCTCGGTCAAGCGCGAGGGGGGTGCTGATAGGCCTGCGGGTCATATCTCGAACTTGTTGCATGACGGGACGCCTGAGGGCGCGGTGCTGGATTTGAGTATGCCGTATGGAGATTTCACGCTCGATGCTGAGGCGACTACGCCTGTAGTCCTACTCAGTGGCGGCGTGGGACTGACACCCATGTTATCGATGCTGCAGACCATCACATCTGGTCCGTCAGAGCGGAAAGTTCATTTCGTGCATGCAGCGCGAAACCGCCATGTGCACGCTATGCGCGACGAGCTAGCGGCGGCGGTAGAGAAAAATGGGAACGTGTCGAGGGCGGTGTACTATGACGAGGTGGGGAAGGAGGATGTGAAGGGCGTGGATTATGATTTCCAGGGCCGCGTAGAGTTTGCGAGGACGGAGGCGCTGGTGGAGGGCGCGGATTATTATATTTGTGGCCCGGTGCCGTTTATGGCGAAGCAGAGGGCGGATTTGGAGAGGTTGGGCGTGGAGCCTGGGAGGATTCATTCGGAGGTGTTTGGGGCTGCGTAGATATGGGACGGGAAGGAGGTGTAGGATATGGGTACTGTAGATGGTTTTGGTTTTGGTGTTGTCTTTTTGGCGTATGGGGTCGCGTTGGGATACACTCACTCTCCCCTTAATGATAGCGGATATGTGGAATTGCCATAAAAGTAGAGGTTACGGTACTGATATATGGATATAGAGATAGAGATAGAAAAGTCCACCCTTATTAGATGAAGGCATTGGCACTGTATATAATTTAGACCGCTTCCTAATACATTTACTCTCACGTTCTTCGTCCTTGGCTTTTACTTTGTGAGCTCAGCATCGCGATAACCAACCTCGACAGCAACTCCAATGTGTGGAACGCACCCGTACGTATTGATGTCAAACAACAGAAGACTAAAGATGCTATGTTCATGATTCTTATAGTGCTATGCTATATACGTTACTGGTATAATGTGTCCTATTTACGCTAGGCTTCGAACAACCTCCTTCCACCTCCACAACAAAGAGCAACAAGCAAAATGCCTCCCACAACAACTCAACATAGTCCAGCCAACTCAGCCAACAAACTCCACTCAAGCTAAAGTCGGGGTCGTCGTCCCCTTCCCACTCGACATGCTATACGGCGCCTGGGACTCATTAGCTTCACTCAGAAAAGAAAGGGTTGGATCAAACTCACCAGCACCTTCCGCGCATTACAAATTCTCCACGCCAAATTCCTCACATTCCCATCCGCCAACACCACTCCCGGCGCAAACTCAACACCAAATACTTCCTTAACCGCAAACACCACGCGGCGCGCGTACTTGCTCTCGCGCTCGACCAACTCTCCGAAGCCATCCTCCACTCCATCGGGCGCCACCTCCGGGTCGCGATCGAAGCAGTTGCGTACCACAGGGAGCAACGCCTCTTCAATAGCAACACGCACGGGTCCCGTCGTGTCCTCCTCGTCAAAGCGTGCAAGGCGCACGGTGAACGGCCGCGAGATAGCCATGACGTTGTGCTTGCCATCATGGTGGTACCGGAACTCGAACACGCCGTGCGTCCAGAACAGTTTGTCGCCACCGAAGACCATCTCGCCCTGCACGAGGTCGCTCTCGCCGTCGCCACCTTTGTACGGCTTGTTCGACGAGAGGATACCGGTGTCAGCGATGGAGGAGTCGTATTCGTCGCGCGAGGTGGGAATCCAGCGCCCAACGGAGGCGATGCGGGTGACGTCTCGCGAGGCGTTGTCAGCGACCATGTAGAGACCGATCCAGTCCTTGTGGCTGTGGTTGGCAGGGGCGGTCCACTTCACGCGGATGGGGGCACCGTATTCGAAGGTTCGGGATTTGAAGGGGCTGCTTGTGGTGGTAGAGGAGTCTTCGATGTTGATGGAGTAGTCCTTGGGGTTGTAGCCTGCGAGGTCGGGTGCCAGGCGAGTGATAGTCAGTCGTGCAGGGTACTGCTGGAAGAGTGCCGTGGTGTCGCGGACAAAGGTGGAAACACCAGTCGCGAGCTTGGGACGAGCAGCATCGAGGAAGTCCTCGACAAAGTGACCGGTATCTCCCAGGACCTTGTCGACGCTGCCGTGCCATGACTTGAAGTGTGGTGGCAGGGAGTTGCGGAAAGTCTTTGTCAGCCCAGCCTCTTTGCGGAGGCTCTGTCCGTAAAGCTTCTGCATGTGAGGCTTCTCAACGAATTGGATGAAGCCGAGAGCGAGCATGTGGCTAAGTAAGGCCAGGAAGAACACGGCCTTGCTATTCGTAATGAATACTGCTCCCCAGACACCCGCGAGGCCGATGATGCGCTCCGGGTTGTTCAGGTATCTGTAGATGCCGCTGTATGTCAGTTTTGGTGCATGGTCGAAGAAGAAATCGCCGTAGAACCATCCAAACTCGCTGAGAGACTCGTAGATGCTCACAGCAGTCCAGAGCTGCAGAGCCACAAGGGCGAATCCAAGAACATGTCTTAAGAGGACTAGTCCGTAGTCCCAGTCTGGCGGAGACGAATACGATTTCCATGCTGCTGCAACGAAACTGATCCAAGCCATTGACATGCTGAGGTGATACATGCCCTTCCATTGACGCCATGCCTCCTCTGCGCTCTCTCCGTACTTGACAAAGTGGCGGGTCCACAGCTTCATGTTAGATTGTTGATCGAGGATTATTCCCAATCCAAGGCTGTACCATAATCGCCACGCGGTAGCATGGAGGACAAATAATGCCTGCCAAATTGGTGTGCTAGGCGTAAAGAAGGTCAACAGCGCGGTGTACATCACCAGGAGGAGTACAGACACGTCCGTGATCCGATATGGGTCAATATTGTCAAATCCCATGACATTGTGGAGGTTAGACGGCAGGGCAGGTGTCACTGGAGACCTGGGTCTGATGGGTTCCAAGACAGGTTCCTCTGGCACTCCCTCAGCAACAGCTGCTTCGTGGCTTGCTTCCTCAACTTCGGCATGGGTAGGGTTCGTATCTCTTCTGGTTCTTGGCGCGGGGGGGTTGTAGATCTTCTCAATATGAGGGTTCTCAACCAAGACAAGGAATGCGAATTGGGCGGCGTGTGCAATAATGGAGATGAAAAGCACCGAGTAGCTGGAGGCCATCATAGAGATGCCATAGTATCCGGCGTATCCGACGGAGTACATGGGATGAGGCGCCATCTCAAAAACGCCGTCGAATGTCAACTCTTGGTCGATAAGGTAGAAAAAGTCACCCCAGTACCATGCATAATCTTTGACAACACGATGGGCATCAAGCTTGACCCAGACATTAAAACCGAAGAGGATAAGGCCAGTGACCCAGCGGGCCGCGAACATCAGATAGCTCTCATTCACTGGTTGGCTTCCACATGCAATCGCGAATAGGCAGTACGTTGAGAAATCGCACATGAGAATGAGATCTACGACACGTCGGAAGACAAGCCAGGTGTTATACTCGATCGGCGCCTTCTCAAAACTGTAATCTTCCGGAATCTTTGCCTCCAGCTCGCGCTTCAGAAGGTCATACAACCAAGGTCTTGGATTCTTTCCCGATTCTGGCTTCTCGAAGAGCTTCCATTGCTTCGCCCAAGTCTCCATCTGTCTGTGGTTGGATTGTACGCGTAGGAGGTAGCCAATCCCCACATTGTAGCAAGCTCTCCAGAACAGAAATACGACAGCAAATAGAGGGACCCGGAGAAATCGTGGGAGGATGTAGAGGAGCAGGATGTGGCCAGCCATGACGGCCAAAACGGCCACATCAGAAAAGTTCTTTGGCTGTCGAGGGTCGAGGAGCTGCGAGACCATGTCGTGTGTGTGGGGAACTGTGAAGACTACGCGGGGTAAGAGTTAGTCGGGTTCTTGCTTTTTACTCATTATTTCCCAACGGCAGCTCCAGATGCACTGAGCTCTGCAGCGCGGGACAAAAACTTACTGGTTCCGTCTGGGGTTCGCCCAAACGTCTTCTTCTCCTTCTCCAGCTCCTCCACATCGGCGGCATCGCCCGCATTAATGACGTTTGGCGTGTTTTTCTCATCAGAAAGTCCATGCCTCTCTCTCAGGCCCTCCGCCCTGGTGGGCGGCTCATGGGATGTGCTCATGTTTGTCGCGCTCGCAAATGTAGAAAAAGAAAACTCGCTAAGCACAAGAGCACAGAATAAATGGTTTGCAGTTATCACAAGACCGTGGGCGACGTTGACAGATTGAGCCCGCTCTCGGATAAGCTCCAGAGAGGGTCTGGTCCACTTTTTAACGGGGGGAGCTGAGCTGTTGCTTCGATAGAGTTCCAACGAAAGCCAAAGCTTTTTATTATGGTCTTATCGGCGGGTTTCTATGTAGATTTTGGTTGGATTTGGTTGGATTTCCGAGTCTGGTGTCTGTTGTTTGTCCTTATATAGCCGGGAATCGGGAGAGTGAGGGTATATTCAGATGATCTACTTGAGTTACAGTGTACTCTTGGACTGTGTTCTGCAGTGTGTTCTGTATTCTGTATTCTGTGTACTTGTTGGCATGAGTTCAACGGCGTCTGTATGGTGCAGATCTATGCACAGTATGCAGAGTATAGTAGAGTACATTAACAAGGAAAGCACAAACCGTGCCTTGTTGGAGAGACAAATAAACGAAAGTCACCGCCCACCAACACCACCGCCCCAGCGGTCAGGAAGGGCAAAATGACATGGTAATTGAACCGCGTGTGGCCGAGAGAGACACATTAAAGACAGCAGAGCTATCCACCAATTTATCCACCAGTTATCAGATATAATATATAGTTTATTAATGTATTTATACTTATATTTCAACGTCAAAACAGAAAAAAAGCCCAATAATGACGAAATATAAAAAGAAAACAATAATAAATGCAATACAACTCTAATTGGGATCCTTGACACGTGAAAATTGGGTAGCAGCACACGAGCAGCCAATCCGGGCGTAGCTCCATCTGTCCTTACGCTTTGCCTTATTTTGACTTCCCGTGGTTGACCGCCTCCCGATTAAATTCATTCTGCCAACGTGCTTATCAATTTCCGAGGAGTTTCCCAAATATATACCCCGCCACCAGCATCTCTCACCAACTTCACCTCGTCAACAACACGCATGTTGGGCGATTTCGACTCCTCAAATCCATCATGTCTCCCTCACTAGAAGAACCGACCGCCAGCGATGTCCTCGATGTCATCAAAAACCCGCTCAAAGCCCCGCCACAGCTGGTCGCCCCAGAGCCAGAACACTGTGTAGGTCCAGAGTCCGAACAAGCCGGCACCGCAGATTCCTGCCAAGGTTGCCCTAACCAAGCCATCTGCGCTTCCGCACCGAAGGGTCCTGATCCCGATATACCACTCATTACGGCACGCCTTGCATCCATCTCTCATAAGATCCTCGTCCTCAGTGGCAAGGGCGGCGTGGGCAAGTCCACCTTCACCACCCTCCTAGCGCACGCCTTCGCCCGCAACCCCGCCTCCACAGTCGGCATTATGGACACAGATATCTGCGGGCCCTCGATCCCCAAGATGATGGGTGTGGAAACCGAGACCATCCACGTCAGCGCCTCGGGCTGGAGTCCCGTCTGGGTTGCCGACAACCTCGCCGTTATGTCCGTCCAGTTCATGCTTCCTTCCCGCGACGATGCTGTTATCTGGCGCGGCGCAAAGAAGAACGGATTAATCAAGCAATTCCTCAAAGACGTCGAGTGGGGGCCCATGGACTTCCTACTTGTGGATACTCCGCCAGGAACATCCGATGAGCATCTCAGCGTCAATGCATTCCTCAAGGAGAGTGGCGTTGATGGTGCAGTTGTGGTCACCACGCCGCAGGAAGTTGCGCTCCTGGATGTGCGTAAGGAGATCGATTTCTGTCGTAAGGCAGGCATCAAGGTCTTAGGGCTCGTAGAGAACATGTCAGGGTTCGTGTGTCCGAAGTGCACGCACGAGAGTCAGATCTTCCAGGCGACGACTGGAGGAGGGCTCGCGCTGGCAAAGGAAATGGGCATTCCATTCCTTGGGTCCGTGCCACTGGATCCGCGAATCGGAATGAGCTGTGATTATGGAGAGAGCTTCTTCGATGCCTATCCAGATAGCCCGGCTTGTGCGGCCTTGAAGGATGTTGTCAGGAGGGTGGGAAAAGAGGTCGGATTAGATGCAAAGGATGTCTTGCCTGAGGATTGAAAGGTGAACATGTTAGCCAGCGGCCGATGAGGCTGCCGTCAGGGACCTCACAACGACGTCAACGCGTCGCTCACTATCAAGACAAGGGCAGAGGAATAGCCAATCCGCCATACTGGTCAGGCTTAAAGGATAGAATTCTCCAAGCCAAGTCAAGTTGAGCCGCAATATACCCCATAGGTGCCATATACACGTTCGTAGAACTAGGTAATGCACCAGTTGCTGCAAAGCATCAGTTAGTCAAGAATCAAGAAATAATCCAATAGTATCAGTATCCATATGTCAGATGTAATGCTGTGTCGCTCTCGCCGTCTGCTCTCGCCGTCTATTTCCATCGTTTAGCGGACATGCAGCCCCTTTGTCTCCAGGGGAATCCCCAATCCTCATCCCCATTACCAGAACCTCAGGCCAACACCCCCCCTCCCACAGGCGAAGCACCCCCTTATAACCCAACTTAACTCACTCTCCTTTCAAGCGGCACAGTAGCGCAGTGGAAGTACCACTGTCTGGACAATCTGGCCAGGGCTTGGAAATGAATAAAAAAGGGCACCAATTCGACTCCCAGCAATCGACGACAATAAAAAAACAAGTTCAACTTCGAGCAACCGACAAGAAATAAACGATGACTTCGAGCAACCAACAAGAATAAACAACGAATACATAACATAACATCAAAAAGTAAAATCAAGTGATTTTCTCCTCATCAAATCTCAAGACGCTGAGATTTGATGAGCCTTTTGCACTTTTGACCTTTAATTAAGTCTTTTTCTTCAGGTTATCTTTACTTTTGTTATTCTCGGATTTTAAAGCTGTTTGTGAGACGCAGTGATCGGAGGTCAGTCTTCATACAAACAACCACCTCCAAATATTCAGTACTCCTCTCCAAATCCACCCGCACAATATAATAATCTTCTCCTTCCGTCTTCTCCCTCAGGCTCTTCAACGAAGCTTCCAAGATTCTCTCGTTATCTCTGTAGGTCAACGGGGGCTGCATGCGGAAATGTCAACCCACGTGATGGGGTTCAACAACAAAGCATCCTCGCCGTCTTCTCCAGATGCATACTGTTTACCGTGGAGAGCGCCTCAAAATATCTAAATCTTACAAATACGTGACAAGATAAATGACTATGCATATGAGCATCTGGTTTATTTGGTTGTGGAAGAAGTTATTGAGTTCGAAGATTTACCCCTTTATATTTATCATATCAAATATATAAAACCACTCACACATAATCGCACCTAATAACCTACATATGTGCCGTCTGAATATCCAAATATTGATGCCATATAACCTTCCCACATGTGGCTCCCTCGCAACCCAAACCTGATTCCGAAAAGTAGACAAGATGTTTGTTAGATCAGCCCTTTCCCTCGAGTCGGCCACGCTCACGACAAAGAAGATCCGCAAGCATCATCCCCTTTATTCCTCGTCCTCAAGATCTTTTGTCCTCACCTCGCATCATCTTTATTCACACACCCGTCCTTGTCTTCCCTCGCCGTCCTCGCCCATCAAAGGACCCCTCTCCCAAACAAAGCACTTTCGTATACTCATCCACCCCTTAAAATGCCCATCCCTATAGGCCCCCTCGAATATTTGTTTTACTTCTCAATCCATCGATCGACAACAATTCACTCCTCCCCAACGCGACTAAGCACACAATTAAACCCACAAACCACCGCTCGAACAAGAGCTAGGCCGCCATGCCTCCCAAAAAAGGAGTCTCGCAAGGAGGGCTAGGAAGCCGCACCGGGCTACGAAGCCAAGGGGGCACCAACACCAACCCGCCAGAACCCAGCGCAGGCGCAGGCGCCCCCGCGTTCGACCCAAACAACCCATACGCCCCCGGCGCCCTACCACCTCGCTCCTTCTACGGTCCAGGATTCCAGGGACCCACACCCACCCCATCCCTGTCCACTCCCTCGCAACTCCAGCCCCGGCCCGGCGAGGATCCCGCGGCGTTCGAGCGGCGCCGCGAAACGCGGAATCGACTCAACGCCATGCAGAGAGAGAGGCGGGCTCGGAGTCGCGCGGCTGCCTTGGCTGCCTTGGCTGCCGAGGATGGTGGGGATGGTGGGGATGATGGGGATGATGGGGATGGTGGGGAGGCGGCGGCGGAACCGCGGAAGAGGAAAGGGCCTAGGAAGTTGCTGGTGGATAGGATAAATGAGGCGGCGACGAGGGTGACGAGGAGTGCGGTCGAGAGGGACGAGGAGCTCGGAAACTGCCTTCATTGCTCCAGGGGCCCGACGTGGCCGCTGAAGTGCCATGGTGGCGATGAGTGTATTGAGTGCGAGGTGAGAGGGATTGCGTGCAATAGGGGGAATAAAAGGCACTTCGACGTAAACCGGAGAAGACAGCTGGAGGGAGTGGAGCCCTGGCGCCCGGATGTTGATCAATGCCAACAATGCAAGAGTAGGGGCAGTAAGTGTTTTATGCCCAATATGCTGCTGCCGGGGCCGTGCGACATGTGCCGGCTGAGTGGTCTGGAGTGCAGTATAGAGCCTCTTCCGGTGAGGCGATGTCCGAATTGTCACTGGGAGCACAAATGTGTTGAGTGCGCCAGAAACCACCTACGCTGCGATGGAAAAATCCCCTGCTTGGTGTGCGTCCGCAGAAATATCGAGTGTGTTGGCCTTAAACCCGATGGATCTTGTCCGGATATACCTATATCAACATATGGCACGGGTCTGCCACCCCCTCCGCAGCGTATGAAGGTTAGGCCCACTGTTGATATGAGGAATTGGCCGCCACCGAGTGGTCGACTTGAAATTTCAGGCAATGTGGCCATTCCAGGCGCTCCTAGAGAGTATCAAGTCTTAAACGTTGGAGCAGGGTATCCCGGTGTTGCAGGACCAGCTCCAGGAGCATATGTAAGTCCATACGCAGGACCAGGACCAGCGGCAGAACCAGCTGCAGGGCCAACTGTCGGAATATTTCCACCACCAGTCGCAGGACCATCTTTGGGACCATCTCCAGGACCCGTCCCAGGACCATCTTCAGGTCCATTTGTAGTTGCAGGTCAACTTTCAGATCCATTTGTAGGACCGACCCAGTCCCCACCCGTCGCGGCAGGTCCAAGTTCCCAGCCGCCCGGGCAAAATCCTGGATCCAACCCCAATAACTTCCGCAACAGCCTCTACAACCCCTTCGACGACGACAAGCCACCATGCAGCCACTGCAGAGCGGATCCCCAGCACCGCATTTGCGACCAGGACACCCCCTGCTGGGAATGCTCTCAACGAGGCATCCTAGAGCCAGAAGACTGCCGGACCTCCCGACCATGCGAGCTCTGCTTCATGAACGAGCTGCCATGCGACGCCGGTTCTCCCTGCCAGAACTGCATGTTCCTCGGATTCGGCGTTGATGAGTGCCGTCCCGAAGGTCTCGGTCCCCAACAATACTTCCCGGATAACCCAGAAGAATCCGATGACGAGCCGTACATTCGCCTCCCAGGACAGCCGGAATTCGACTACAGCTGTGCCTTCTGCGTCGCGTATGGGTTCCAGGGGTGCGATCCGCGGGATCGGCCGTGTTTGCCGTGCATCCAGCACGGACGGACGGCGTTGCAGTGTCGCTTTGAAGAACGCTGTGCTAGGTGCATAGAGCTGGATGTGCCCTGTGATGGCAAAATGCCTTGCTCCTTGTGCGCCAACGCGGATGGGTTGACTAGTATGACGTGCCTCGGCCGCGGGGACACAACGATGCCGGGGACCTTCATCAACGAGCCCCCTCAGGAGGGAGACGACATCCCGATGGGCGAGGGAGGTGACTACCCACCTCCCGATGGATTTGGGTATCAGTTCCCCCCACAAGGCGGGAATGACCCCTTTGCTCCACCTGGAGTACCACAAGAGTATGTCGACCCTGCCGCTTTAGTTGCTCAAGGAATCCCAGGACAATCAATCCTTCCACAGGAAGAGGTCCCTCGAGTACCACCCGGAGGCTTCTTCTTCCCGCCGGCACACGTCCGAGAGACACTTCTCCCCCACTACCGCATCCGCACAGATGTATACGGCAACGGGCAATTCGATCCTCAACCAGGAGCCCATGTCAACTGGCGGCCGTGGAATGAAAACTTCAGGTGCAAAGAGACCCTTGCAAGTGGGTATGTTTGCAACGTCCTCCCAACCATGGACTGTGACGGCGGCGAAGAGCACGGAGACGAGGTATGGGGCGTTTGCGGGGCGTGCCGCGTACGTGCGGAGGAAAGCACGGCTCAACTCCTGGAAGAGATTGAGGAGAAGAAGAACCTGTTTTGCTGCTTCACATGCTCACAGGCACAGATGAATAAGTTCCTCAGCGGCACTGGATTCGAGAATAGTGAGACATTGGTGGATAATCACTGTGATTGCGACACTCAGATGCGGGCTTGGCTGTGCTATGCGTGTAAGACTAAGGTGATCTATGCTGTGGGCAACCGGATGATAACGACGAGGGAAAAGCTGACGCGAGATTCTGATAACGCTATACTCTGTCCAAGATGTGGAGTTGAACCTGGGAATAAGGAGGCGGCGTATACTTTGGCTAATGGGGTCGCGAGGTGTTCGAGCTGCTGGGTTTGGATTAACTATGCGAAGTGAGGCGTGATACTAGAAGCATAGGAGAAGGAGGCGTTGGATATTTGGCGGCGTTTGGGTTGGGTTGTTTGTCGTTGTTTCGGCTTAGTTTAATCCTACTGTTTAGATCAAAAAACGAGATATCTGCATCACCATATAGTTTTGTCAGTCCCTGTGTGATAATTGTAGTTACTTACCTCCTTCGATTCAGAGCTCTGTATCTGCGCTGTAGGAACCCAGAACACTGCGTTGTGTTGCTGGAATAGATCAGCTCGCGTCGTTTGACTAGAATTCAACGACGGGCATGATTGCGAAAGCATAGTAGGCGATGAAGAATGATGAATATAATTGGCCTCAGGCCTGATGCCTATCGACGAGGCAAACCATCTTGCAACCTGCATGATCTGCTTCGCCCTCTCCATCCCTATCTCATCCTACCATTCACCACCCGGCGTCACCCACTGCCGCTCCCACAAACCGACAAGCCAAACTCGCCATAAGATAAATCGGAGAGCATCATACAAACAAGGATATCCAGCTGAACAGAAATACGACACACAAACTGGGGGATTCCCCATGAAATTAAATATGGTAAAAAAAACTCCTAGTAAAAAGACTTTGACAAAATTAAAAACGGGAAATGGTTGGGAGGGTAACTCGGTCCCTGATGTCACATCCCGTTGACCTCCATGTCTATACCTTCGTTCATCCTCCATCCGCTAGAATGGAAACCCCCTCCAACTCCACCAACCCCGGTCCCACGCACGCTCTCGCGCATTTCCCCTTTTCCAGTCGCCCATTGTAATCCACGCTGACGTATCGCTCCCTCCCCTTCAACCACATCAACACCTTACATCAGGACACACGATCCACAGCATCCCCTGCTGTTCTCGCCCTCACCCATCTCCATCTTGCCCTGCGGTCCGCCGTTTCCTCCCTGGCCACCACCGCTGCCACCCTCGAAGTTACCGGCCATCTGCTTGTTGTAAGCGCGGATCTCGCGCACGATATCGAAAAACGCGTTGTCGACGTTGATGCGCGACTTGGCGGACGTCTCGATGAATTTGCAGCCGAAGGACTTCGCTAGTGCCTCTCCCTCTGGAAACGGAATTTGTCAGTATAACTATTCTCGCGACAAATGATACCAACGCGTTATGAACGCAGAAAGTAACGTATGCGGGGAGGGAAACACAAAATCACGTACCCTGCTTAGAAACCTGCCTCTCGCCCTCCAAATCGCACTTGTTTCCTACCACTGTGATTGGGAAGTAGTCCTTGTCCTTGACTCGCAGGATTTGTTGCTGGAACGTCATGATCTCCTCAAATGACTGCCGCGACGTGATGGAGTAAACGAGCAAGAAACCCTCGCCTGTGCGCATGTACTGCTCCCTCATCGCCGAGTACTCCTCCTGGCCAGCTGTGTCGAGAACATCAAGAAGCGCGACCTCATCGTCGATCACGCACTGCTTGCGGTAAGAGTCTAAAAAGGAGAGAGGTCAGTTCCTGCGGTGAGTGCGCGTTTGTTGGTCGCGGATGGGATAATGGGGTCTGGGAGAGGAGGCCGAGGTAGAGTGAGCCGTCTTTACCTTCAATCGTAGGATCATATTCGTCGACAAAGTGGCTCTGGATCAATTGGATCGTCAAACACGACTTTCCGACACCACCACCACCGACAACAACGAGCTTATACTCGCGCAAAAACTGTAAGAGGAGAACGTGTTAGCTAGCTCCGCCATTTGCATGTGTGTATCCGAAGAGCTCCTGCGGTGCGGTGAGGGAGGGTAGAGCAGCCGCAGAATTGTCGTTCTTCGTCGTACCTTGGATGCCATTGTATAGGAAGTCGCGATGACTCTTGGGGATCGTAGAGGTGAGGTCCTGATGTTGAGAGGTGAGGTCGGTGGAATCTTATGCTGGCTCGGCGGTTGGTTGGGGTAGGTAGCGGATTGGAGGTGTTGAGGTTCTGTGCGTTCGAGACGGGACGGGGGTCTGGGGAAGCGAAAGCGACGTCAATTGCGAGCGACTCAGCAAGGTCGGACGTGGTGATATAGAGGAATAATTTGCCTCTTTTTATTTTTTGCTTCTCGCGAGGAAGATGTTTGGTGATATTGGGTTGATAAGTTTAGATGTGGATGGGGGGGAGGGATTAAACAGCGACTGAAGGCGGTGGTAGCGGGCACGGAAGAAAGAAAGAGAGACGGGTCCGTCCCAGCAACGTCGAGTTGAGTAGGGGGTTCGCGGGCGGTGATTGTGTGGGTTGTCACGTGCGGATTCGGACCTTTCAACCATTGAATTGAAGCGCTATCAAGCGCCCAGATATATACTATAACCATACTGTAACATCCTAATAACACCATAAATGCTGCCAGCACAGTGCTAGTAAGGTGAAGGCTGTAAAATGTCGAAGATCATTACTTCTTTACAGCTATCGCTCTCTCGATGGATGTCCCGATCTGGCACGACCGGGAGCTTTAGAGGCCCGATAAATAGGGGTCTCATAGAGAAGTATATATAAGTATATATCAATCAACTTTTTTACGGGTTCCATACGCCTCAATCCACAAACTAACCAACTGAACCAACTAAACCACGTCTATCCACGACTGTAGCCGACCTAACTCTTCGTCCTCATCACCCCCTCATTACCCTCATCACCCCCCTCACGACCCATCCCCCCCCCCTTTACCCTTCTAGACCACATTTTCTAAGATAATGGGCAGTCGATACTTCAAATTAAGTTCCAATAGAACCATTTTTTGCGGGGGAGCTACTTTATTATAGGTCACTAGTTCCGATGTCACTTCCTTCTAGCGTGAACATGAAACGCCCATCGAACTAAGGGTACCAGCGTACCATTGTATCCATGTATCGTCTCTCCTTTCCTTTCCCAATCTTTTTCTCTTCATCTCAAGCTCAGATGTCAGAAGAATCTCTCACACGGCTGTGACAGGCAGGCATGGCAGGTGGCAGGCGGCAGGCGCGACACGCGTGACAAGGCTGGTCTTTCTTGCCAAATCTCAAATCTCAAATCTCAAATCACGTGGGCTAGCTAGACAAGGCTTTCTCTTTCGTAATCACATCCTCCCCCCCTTCCAGATAGATACCCGTATACTCACTGGCTACCCTGCTCAACTACCCCCTCGACATCGTCTTCCCCCTCCACCAACACCCTCTTTCCTTCTACATTCTTCTCTACCTCATCCACCAAGCTCTCCAGAAACGCCTTGTCCCTAAACAAGCACCATTAGCCACATGCACCACTCCCACTATGCACTGCCAACACTTACCTCCCAACCAGCGTCACTGTATTCGACCCCTTCCCGAACCTCGGGTAGCTCCCAACCTTCACCCCCTTCTCCTCCACCCTCGCCTGTAGCTTCTCCAAGTACGGCGCCACAGCACTCTCACTCATCGGCGTACTAATCATCACCCTCCTTATCTCCTCCCCCAACCTCTCCCCATACAACTCCCCCAGACCCAACAGCAACTTCTCAAACAACCTCGGCACCCCAGGAAGAACATGCACATTCCCCCCCACACACACAACCGGCACCCACAGCTCCTCAACCGGGAACAGCACCTGGTCCTTCCACTCCTTCCCCTCCCCCCCATCCCCAGCCAGCGGCAACAGCACCATCCGTTCCTTGGCCCGACGCGCCTCGCTGTCTACAGTCCAATCGAAGTTCGGCTGCGACTTGTGCGGTTTCGCCAGCCGGCGCATGCGCGCATAGGCGACCTCGTGCAGCACGAGCGGGACACCGAATGCTGTTGCTAATGAGGAGTACGTGATATCATCGTGGGTAGGTCCGATGCCGCCGCTCGTGATGACGAAGTCGTATGCGGCGCTCAGGCGTTTCGCGGACTCGGCGATCGTGTCGGCGTCGTCGGGGATGGTCTCGATGCGCTGGAGGGCCTGGATGGGGGGGTTAGCTTATGCATAGATGCGGGAGGGGCGTAGGGTAGGGAAAACGCACGACGCCGTGGGAGAAACACCATTTGGCCATGAATGCCGAGTTTGTCTGTGCGTGTGTCAGCACGCATGCTCGCTCTAGCCGTCGATCGATCGCCAATTAGACTGTGCGCGGGCCGAGATTTCTCACATCTACTGTCTGAGCATCATTAGCTTGTTACTTCATCCCAGCTGGCTGTTCTAGAACCACATACCTTCCCCCCCAGCACCTCGTCCCCGATAATCAGGCACGCGGCCGTACGGATCATTCTAGTCCCCGACATGCCGCCCGCAGCTGCAGACGTATGTGCGTAGTTTGGTAGTGAGCGCGAGAAGTGGCGCGCGATGTGTGAGACGCGGGAGAACATGCGGATCTATTTGTATGCAACGTAGGGATTCGGTGAGGTTGGTGGAGGCGCGCGGATATATTTTTGGTATGCAGGTGTGGAGGGGACCTGTTGGTGCGGGGTCGGCGAGTGCGGCTACGCTGTTGGCGAGCGGGAAGCCCCGCATGACGCTGAGGGGCTGAGGGGCAGTTTAACTTCCACGGATTGTGTGCTGTTACGTAGCCGCGACAGACGTCGAGAATACCCCCAGCCTCATCGATTGCTATATCGGAAATACCTCTTATTATTCTTATACCTCTTCTCCCATACCCATAAAATGGTGCGATGAATCGTCCCCTACTCCCAAGACCCACACCTAACCATGCCCACAGGCTTCAGAGTCCCGCCTTTACACGGTATCGACGCCGACAAAAGAGCATCTCCGCAAATTCAGACTCTCTACAAGCCGTTCCGATAAACCTCAAGCTGTGATATGTATGTCGCTTGCCGCCTCCTGTCACACACTTCACAGCCCTCTCTCATTCTCCATTTCCTCAGCCATTCCGTCATCCCACGCTGCACAATTCAGCTCGAAGCCCAGCTAACACAACCGCAAAGACCTAATCGACAAAGTCACCCTCGAAATCCGCCTCGACGACGAGGGAATCGTATACCATGACCTCGAAGAGCTAGGCGAAGAGCTCCCCGACCACGCCCCGCGTTTCATACTCCTGAGCTACCCACTGACACTGGTGAGTCCCTCATCCCACTCTTCGACACCCCCTCTCTCCCAACCACCCTCGCCTTCCCCAACCAAACTTAACCTCCCTACACACCCACGCTAACACCCCTCCAGTCCTCAGGCCGCCTCTCAGTCCCCTACGTCCTTCTCTACTACCTCCCCGCCACCTGCAACGCCGAGGCGCGCATGTTATACGCTGGTGCAAAGGAGCTACTCCGCGGCGAGGCGGGTGTGGGGCGTGTGATTGAGATTGAGAGTGCGGAGGATTTAGCTGAGATCAAGGAGAAGCTGGGTGGAGAGTGATGTATATACTGGGGTCAGAGTGGATGGGGTGGTGTTGGGGGAGGCGGGGGCGCGGGGGGGTATTATTCCATGAATATAAATACGATTTTTACGTTCGTTCTTCGGTTCTCTTGTGTGAGCTCGGCTAGGTAAAGATCAAAGCTGTCGGGGAGTCAACGTGAGGAATTCCGAAGGGAAAGACTGGTTTCAGAAGCTCGAAGGCTGGAAATCGATCAGAGAGGCCAAAATGGGAAAATAGACTATCAGTCACTGACGTTCAAAGCAAGACGATCAGTCAGTAAAGTTCAAGGTAGGACTACTAGTCACTGAAGTAGGAAATAAGAAGGCGCGGGACTAGGACCAAGTCTAAGTAAATACAGTCCCAGTCGCAACTGCCTCACTATATATATTATTGTTAATAGCTATTACCAGTTCCTTCACCTACCTCGTTTCAAAGAGCAAGTTAAACTAAGCCTGTCCTTTAAAGCCGCGTAATACATCATATAATAATCCTAGCTCGTCACCTCAGCTACAATATGCTCAATTATCAGCTACGATCTGCTCAACTATCTTTGCAGTGCGCTCGTTTGCTACCACCGAACGTTCCATGTATGCTACTCTACGTTCCATCGCTTCTGCCCAATATTTCGCATCATCTGCCGCCCGTTTGAGGATATCCATCTGCGTATTCTGCGTAAGGTCTTTCTCAACTCGGGGTTTAGCCTGCGGCTCCTTCTTCTCTCCAGGTAGAAAGGTTATGCGGACCTCCTCCTTAGCCCTGAGCCCCCTTCTGATATTAAAAGTAATTCCCTCGTCCCGATCAATCTGTTCTTGAAGGTCATTAAGTTCTACCTTGATAGCTCGGGCTATAAGCAGCTCGAGCAGATGCACTGTGCGCTTCGTGGCTGCTCTCGAACGATTCGTCAATATTATTATTCTTTTGGTCGCTACTGTCGTACGTTCCGTTGCGTCTCTTATCTGTTTGACCAGCTCTCTTGCTGTTGGGTTTTTCTCTGAGCCAGATTTGGCCTGTGGTTCCTTCTTCTCGTTGCATGGTGGGGGCGGGCCCGTATTCTCCGTTTCTTGGAATCTCTTCTTCTCATCGTATGGTGGGAGCGAGCAGGTACTCTCCTTGGATTGAAATCTCTTCTTCTCGTCGTTTAGTACGAGTGGGCCGGATTCCTCCCCAGCGTCGCCTATTGAACGCGGCTGCAGCCCGATCGATCGGAGGAGGGTTTTGAGAAGCCCCATGGCAGAGCAGTTATTTTCAAATCGGCCGGTGTGTTTCAGGGCGCTCTAGAGATGTGGAGTTGTTGGGGGTGGAAGTTGGCTACGCTGACGGGAATGAGGGTGATATGAGAGCCGTCTTTCTAGTGTCATGAATGCATCAATATCAGACCACGAATGGTCCGACCCAACATAACATTCGATGCCACCGCACTATAGTCCTCATAATACATTTATATCCCCCCCTCCGCATCAACCCAAGCTCAGCTTCCAGTCCATCCCCCCGCCAAACATCCCAACATGTCGTCCACCAACGCCCCCGTTCTCAAACCCCCCATCTGGTCCCTCCAAACCCCCTCAATCCGCTGGCTCCTCTCCGGCGCCCTCCTCTCCCTCGCCATGCTCCAACTCCGCCCCTCCCCCCCTCCCCCCGACACCTCCCCCCTCTCCCAGCTCCCCCCCGAGCTCCTCCTCCGCATAACTACCTACCTCCCCCCCACCTCCGCCGCCTCCTTCGCCCTCTGCACCAAGCGCCTCCACGCCCTCCTCTGCATCCCCTACCTTCGATGCAAGAACGGGCACGCCCCCTTCAGCAAAGCCGAGTTCCTCCGCCTCCTCGAGCGGGACCTCCCAGACTACATCGTCTGCTACTACTGCGAGAAGCTGCATTCCATCAAGCGCGCGGGACGGCACGTCAAGTTCACGAAACGGTGTGATTCCAAAGTCAACGAAGCGATGCGCACTTACATCCACCCGCGCTTCAGCTACGTGGTCTTCCAAATGCTAATGAAGCGGCACCGACAAGATCCCTCTCGCGACCTCTCATCCTTACTAAACCTCCTCTCCTACAACGAGTGGAGCTGGATCGGCCCGGATGAGACAAAGACCACAGCCCGCATCGTCGATGGCTCCTTACTCCTCCGCCAACAACACACGCTCCTCGTTCACCCGAATAACGATATGTGCTTCACCCACGATAACATCATGATATGTCCGCACATCGCGCAGCTGCGCTGTAAAATCAACTGCTCCGCCAGCGGCGCAGAGAGGTATAGTATGTGCTACACGGGCGACAGGGTTGACATTGACCGCACGCCCACGTCTGTGGAATGCGAGTGCTGTTCCCAGCGCGGGAAGACAGATGAGGGGAGTTGGTCCGGGTTGATAAGGTGTAGAGACTGCGCGACGGAGTTTCGGATTGATACGCTTGGGGTGGGGAAGGCGGGGAAGGCGTTTGTGGTGACGAGGTGGAAGGATTTGGGGGAGGGGAGGGATGGGGAGGATCCGGTTTGGAGGGGGCATGTGGAGAGGCGGGGGGGAGGGGGGGTGGGGAGGAGGGCGGGGGGGAGGACGATTTGTAAGAGGTTTGAGGGGGAGGGGTGGAGGGGTGGGTTGGAGTCGTTGGTTAGTTCGAGGGAGATGAAGAGGTTGGTGAGGTATAGGTATGGTTTTTGTGAAGTATGAGAGGCTCGTGTATAGGAACAGTTGCTATAATCACTTGCAAATTCTATAGTAATTAAAGGATGTTGTATTATAGGAATAGTTACTGTTCATAGTTAGCACTCATATAGATAGTAACTAAGCAGCTTCCTTATAGGCACAGTCTCTATAGACACTTACTACTTTCATAGTAGCTGAGAAGTTTCCCTATAGACATGGTCGACTGGCCCGGGCAACATAGCGGGTTGCCCTTGATTGGATGTGTGCACTATCTGACCGAATATCCGGAGCATCATCCTCCTCTGAACGACCCGAGATATCCCAAGGCAAAAACCAAACGCTTCAGACACTCACCTCGCCCCCTTACGCACCAGTCACCCACACCACCCCCTTTCCACGTCAGTAACTCAACGATCAACATCACACTCACAGCCCCCCCACACAAGAAAACAGCATATAGACGGTAGAATCATTCATATTCAGGGGTCAGACACCCACCCCCCCCATCTTCACCTATCTAACCCCTCCCCCGTCTTCCCATCTATCCCTACCCCATCATTTTTCACCCCCCCTCCTCCCATCCCACCAAAAAAGGACTCGACAGCCCTGAAAGTATACACAAGAAACCCTCCCCCCCGCCTTTCCTCCTCTACTGCCCCGCCCCTTCCTTCTTGGGCTCTCTCCCTCCCGACCTCGCGCACAGGAACTGAATCGCTGGAAATGGAGACCCGGACACCCGTGCATGTGGTAAAGCGATTAATAAAATGAAAACAAGGATGAAAAAGAAGATTGCCCATCCGCCCGTACACGCATTTTCGGTTCTCTCCGCGCTCGATCGAGACCTGGAGAGCTCTCATCGAGGTGTCGTTTGGTAGGAGCTGAGATGCCGACGGCTGGGGAGAGATGCTGGCGCGGTGACGGATGGTGAATGCAGACTGAGTTGGGATGACGCGATCGCTGACGGAGAATGCTCGAAAAAACCAAAATCAAGAGTCGAGGTGAGGTGAGGAGAAGATGGTAGACCCGAACGTGATGAAGTCGACGGGCCTAGTTGCAATAAAAAGATATGCAAAAATTGTTTCTGTTAAATGTTGAAGAGGGCGGGTTGGGTATCGTTAAAGTCGTGATATTCGTGATGATGATGGAAGTAGATTTGAATACTTTGATTTTCTCTCTCGGTTTGCGGGGGTTTTTTCTTTCTTGGTTTGGTTTGGTGAGCATCGATCGGTATGGTATGGTCGTCGTAAAGGCTGCGTTTGGATGAAGAGACGTGGTGCTCGACATGTGACTAGCCTTGGACAAACACCGTGCAACAATCCTCCGTCAGCATATCGCCGACAAGTTGTTCGTTATATCAAAGTCAGAGACCGCGCGGCGGCTGCTATGACTTCGCCTCAGCAGAGGAGAGAGCCAGCGCCGCGAGCTTCTCCTCCACACGACGGAGCACCTCGGGATCCGGTTGCGGCTCGATCTTTCTCGGCGGGGCGCGCGCGCACTCGGTGCACTTCTCGTGGGTGCAGTTTACGCACTTCGCTTCGTCGAGGGGGAACACCTTCTCGCACTCGTGGCAGGTGTAGTAGGCGTTCTTCTCGCCGAAGACGTCGTTGGGGTAGCCGTAGGGGAACTTGTGGGCCTTGGGTCTGTGGTTGCGTTAGTATGGGTAGGTAGGTTGGGGGGAGATTAAAGCCAGGAGAAGATAGTGGACGACGTACGGGTCTCGTGGGCAGTCGGTACAGCGGATGTGTCCGCACTCGGTGCAGGTCTTGGTGGGAGGGTAGAAGAGGGTACCGCAGCAGTGGCAGTTTCTCCGCACGCGCTGGACGGGCTTCTTGAGGACGAGTTCTTGCTTCGATGTCCGCGCGGGTCTGGTGATTTGCAGGCGGTACTTCTCGGGTTTCTCGACGACTACGTTGATGGGGGCGTTCTCGTCGCCATCGACCTTCTTTGGGAACTTGGAACTCTCTCCGGTCTCCGCGGCTGGGGTTGGCTTTGCTGCCTCCTTCAACGACGAAGCAGCGGCTGCTGTTGCGGAGCTGTACGGTGGTTAGTATAATTAATATATAAAAAACGATAGGTATAGTTGTCATAACACTAACCTTACAACAGCTGCAGGTTTCGCTGCAGCGGCCAACGAAAGTCGCTTCTGCGCACTGCTCGAACTCGACTTTCCGATCGCCTTCTTAAACCTCTCGACATACTTCTCAAACCCCTTCTTCTTCTCCAGCGGCACCTCCGGTCCGATATTCTGCGGCGCACTCATCCTGGCTTAAAATATCCTAATCGACCCTTAAATTCGTCGGGCGCAAAAGATCGTGGAGCCTGGAGTGTTTCCCAAGGCTTTTACCAAGACATGCGAGTTTTCCGAGGGATGGATGGATGTCGACGACGTTCTTTGTAGCTGTCTACCTCTTCTAAGACTCGGACCGTCCTTGTGTAACCCGAGAAATCTTCAGCGGATCGGTATCGGTAATAGGGTTTCGTGGTGACCGAGTTGACGGGATTGTTGGGTGAAGTGATAGGTCAATCGGCGACCGTCTGCCGAGACACGAGCGAAAAGTGACGAGGAGTTCGGAGATTGCTGTGGCAGGTACACAGGTAGTTGGAAGCGACAGGAGAAGTGATGGCAAGTGTTGAAGTCGGTGAGGTGAGGTTCTGGACGGAGAGATATGTTGTCGAAGTTGGTCGGGAGTGAAGATCGATGTGAAGGTTTGAAAGAAGGACGGGAAATGGTGGGTAGTTAGAGTAGTTAGAGTAGTTGGAGTAGTAGTGAAGAGAGTTGTCTAGTGAAGTACAGGTTGGTGTACTATAGTACAGTAGTATTTGTTCGTACTGCACCAGAGGGACCTAGGGAGCAAAAGCTGAGACGGGATACGCTGATCAGACCCCTTCCCAGAGACCAAAGCGCCGGGCAAAGGCAGAAGTGGAGCGTGGAGTTGATGTACCCGCACAAGGTCTGTTCTTCGCTGGATCGTCGGGATAACGGGGAAATAGAGAAGTCGAGAAGTGGGTTTTAGTGAGTGAGATGGGTATGGGTTATGGGTATGGGTAAGAGTAAGAAGAGTAAGAGATGAAAGTAAGTCAGAGTGGAGGGAAGTGTAGTAGATCGATCAGGTTTCAGTTGTTGAAGAGAGAAGATTTTCTTTCTTTTTTTCGCCACAACTGCACGGCAAGTGAAGGCAGAGAGAGAGACAAGGAAGTATCAGATGACGGGGTGGACAGCAGGTTGTGTGAGGTTTAACAGGAGAGAGTGAGTCGAGTAAGTAGAGTAAGTAGAGTAAGTAGAGTAAGTAGAGTAGGTAGAGTAAGCAGAGTAAGTAGAGTACTTGGTATAAAAGTACCATACGGGAGTAACTCCGACAAGCGGGAAGGCATAGAAGGGTGAACGGGAAGGGGAGGGAAGGGGGCCAAGGTTAGTGGCCAAACGTTTGATAGGGGATAGATAGGCGGGCAAAGAGTTGGCGCAGAACGCAGAGAACTTGTAAGGACTGGGGTTTGATGGTTGTGGGGTTTGGGGGGAAAGAGTGGAGGGTGGAGGGGGGCGATTTATTGGGGATTATTGGGAGTTAACTGGTAATTGTCAGCGGTTGATGGGTTTGATGGGCTTAATGGGATTATGGGTTTGTCGGGCGGGCGGGAGGAGACAAAGGAAGTGGGGAGAGTTAGAGAGGAGGAGGAGTTTAGAGAGGATAGATACTTTGGTGTTGAGTGGTGTATGGGCCGGGAACAGAAGTACCGTGTGCAAATTGTGTAGATTGTATAATGAGCAGCATTGAAGCATACGTACGCGTACATCATATAGTACAGTGCGAGTATTCCCTATTGTAGTAAGAAATTGAAGAAATCGTGCGGGTTTCTAGTGTGGTGGTACAGCAGCATACGGACGGACTAGATGTGTTGTGTTGCGTGGTATGTGTGATGCTATGCAGTGCAAACCGGTATAGTCAGTGGTCGGTGGTCGTCGGTCGGGAACCGTCAAGATGTGTAGAGATGATGTGTATAGTACAGTATAATTGGACGGAGTATGACAGTATAGATGTGTATAGCACTGTGTATAGCACAGTATAATTGGTATAATGGGTATAATTGGACAGAGCATGGACGGAGCATAGACAGAGCATGTTAGTACAGACAAGCCATGTACCTGAATGAAATTCTTCAGCGGGTAGGCACAGCGAATCAGTGTAGATACCAGCAATAATTACCAGCAGGGTCGTACCTTCACTCTAAAATACTACACCTAAAATACTACACACCACCTAAAATACTACACCACTCCACTACGCACGTATGTACTGGTCGACCAACCAAGCTTCATCGACACGCACTCCGTACACCAGACGGAGGCGGGTAGCGCGTCTTGGCTTGACCATCTCACGGAAATAGTGTAAAGCCCGGCGGTATGGTCTGTGAGGGCGAGAGAGAGCCTGCAAGGTCTGACTAATGCCAACCACACTAGCTGTTCCTAGCTGTTCTACAGTACGTCCTCGACCAGGGTTATCGACTAGTCGCCTCGGCGGGCTGGGTGATGGCTTTCCTGGGGATTACCGTATTCTGGTTCTGCGTGAAGTTAGACAGACTAGACAGACAGACAGGCAGATATCACAGTAGTAATGTAAGAATGCCGATAGTGCTTATAGTGCTGATAGTGCTGATAGTGCTGATTATCCAGCTCCGTACTACGGATTACTAGACGTGTGAAGAGTGCAGTTGGTGCTGACGGCTGATAGACATGAGCTTGTCTAGTTTGCTTGCTCCGTCGGTGCACGTACGCACGCACGCACGCACATCATCAACTCTTGGTGCTTGGGTTTTATCCCGACGGTCGAGGGGCTGGGAATACACTGGATCCCATCCCGTAGGTAGGTAGTAAGTAGTAGTGTAGTCGACCCGACGAACCTTACATTTTGTAGTAGTAGGTGCCCATTTCTACTGGGTAGGACACAGGGACACAGGGAAGGTACATGCGGACACCACAATACTTTGCTGTGCATTGCATGTACTCTACTGTACTGTACACTTCATAGCTCTGCACACCTTCCAACTTGAGTCCAATACAGCGAGTGGCCACACGAGAATGCGAAAAGTACTACTCTACTCTACTACCCTCCTTCCTCGAACCAACCACATGAGACAATGACATGTGCCTTCCCTTCCCGCCCTCCCTCCCTCCTCCCTCCCTTCCCTTCCCTTCCTTCTCCAACCCATCCCGTTCACACACATACCACGATCCCACACATCCACGATCCCACCCACCCACCACCACCACCTATCACTACCCACCATCCACATTCACGCCAATCTCCCAATTCCCATTCCCAGCTCAACCCGCATCCATCCCATCCCATCCCCACCACCACCGGCTCCCTGGCCCGCCCGTACTCCACTCCTCACGCCACTCCTCTTCTCTTCAACTGACAGACATGCTCATGCTCATGCCCATGCTCAGAATACACGTGCGTGGGCACTTCCGTTCTACACCACCAGGAGAGAAGCACGATGGCGGGAGTTAGTAACTGAGGCCACCATACACTGCACTACCACACGCAGATAGAGTGGAAGGCACACACCAGTGCAGCCAAGCCAACACCATCATCCACCATCGTCCCAACCCAACCTGGAAACCTTGCTTCTCTCCCAATATAAACTCGCACCACGGTCTGAATCTTAGGGTTCGGATGACGGAGAGATGAGAGAGCCAACGCGTGGAGGACATTTATCCACAGCTGCGGCGTCATGTCCGATACTACAGTGCAGTAGAGTGGAGTGCAGCAGTGCATCTAGAATCAAAAATAAATCCCTCTAACAATAACCCTCATCACCACGGGTCTCGGAGTCAGTTCCATCCTTCTCGCGTGCTATACAACATCAGAAGATGGTGAGCCTGAGTCCGAAATAGGGATATTGGGTTTCCGCCGGCCCGTTCGTGGCGTTGTGGGTGGTGGTGGGATAGCGGAGGATGCCGTATCAGCAGCACATTGCCTCGCAGGTCGTTTTGCCAACGGTGCCACTTCGTCTTCTGATTCTCGCTCAGGCAGTGTGGTGTTGTCGGAGTCGTATTTATCTGATGGGGATGTACTCTCTCTCTTGGCCACCTCTTCCCTTCCCTTCTTCCCTACAACCCCCCCTTCCTCCTCCTCATCATCATCCCCCTCCCCCCCACCACCACCAACCTCACCCCTCTTCCTCTTAGCACCCCCCTCCCCTCCCCCCTTCTCACCAGCAGCCCGTTGAAACGGCGTCCCATGCGTCCCTATCAGCGTCCCGCTCTCGATCTGGCGACGTAGACGGGTATAGCGCATTCGGGCGGCGGGGGCTTTGAGGTTTGTGACTTCGCCGACGGCGTTGAAGTCGATCTATGTAGGGTTTTAGCATAAGTCCAAGGATGTAAGTGTCTCAATGATGTAGGTATGTGACGTACGTTCTTGTAGTCGGATTTTTGGAGGCAGATGTAGAGGAACCAGAGGTTTTCGTCGAGTTGGATTTTTGAGGGCATGATGCGAGGTTGGCTGGCAGACGACTGAGCTGGTCTTGGGTTCTTCTGGTGTTGGGCAAATACAGAGCAGTGGTGGGTGTGATATTCTGATAGCACTGGTTCAATTCGTATGAGAAGAGACAGTTATTGAGCATTGGGTGAAGTATATCAATATAATATTTTGAAGTCATTATAAGAATGTTATTTAATTGTTAGCAAACAATATCCAGCAAACACATCCTTTGAACACCAAACCACTCTATCAATGGAATAAAATAGTGATAAGCTCAGAACTTCTACACACAACCACAAACAAAATAATAACCTCACGATCCTTTGTCCTCTACACATATCTTCACACTTCATCCAATATCACAGCCACATCAACACCTCCAACGACATCGTCAACCAACCCACACCCCTCCCACCTTCCAGAACCCCTTCCCGCCATCCACCCACGTTCTCCCCCCCCCAGCCACTCCATCACCCCATAATAGCGTGTCTTCCCTCTCCTTCCCATCCCTCCCCTCCCTCTCCTCCCACCATCCACCTCCCCTCGCTTCACCGCCCGCCCCACTCCCTTCACCAATTATTCCCGCACCACACCACACCACACCACACCAGCACCCCGCCCTTTCCACCCGCCGCCCCGCTCCATACCCCTACCCCTACACTTCTACCATCCAGCCAAACGCACACTACCCACCCAAACCCACTTCATCCCTTGGTTCTTCCGTGGCGCGACCGGTCGGAGCGCCCGTCATATTCTGGGTCTATACTCGAAAAAGGCACGTACTACGCTGTTTGCAGTACAGCGTCTACGGGAGGGTGGCTAGGGTGGCTAGGGTGGTGATGATGGCCAGGGTAGAGATGGCAGGGGGAGGGAGGGACGGGGCGGTGCGGTGGTGCTTCCGGTGCTGTGTGTGTGCGTGCGTGCGAGGATGGGATGGGAAGGGGAGGGATGAGGGGAGATGATAAAGCCAGTTAGGAGGGTTGCCGGTGAGCTGGGTCGGGTCGGAGGGAGGTCGGATCGAACGGGATGGGGGAGGAGAGGCTACTGTGGGAAGGTGCGAAGGGGAGGGTCGGTCGGTTGGGTAATTGGGTGCGTATGCGTACAATATGTGTATGTATGTGTGTGTGTGTGTGCATGTGTTGGGTGGGTGGATTTTGCTGCGAGTTGTGAGTGCGAGCGTGCAGGAGTCGTGCGGCGGAGTGGATGGTGGGTAGAGAGAGGTGCAGATAGCAGTAGTAGTCTCCGTACCTCCGCCACCACAATACAATCCAGTACAATCCAGCCCTCGCCGCCGACAAACCGACCGATACAACCTCCTACCGCGCCACCACCACGTCGTTAACAAGATCTCGACCAGGCTGTATGGTGACACAAACGAGATCCCTCTCTTTCCGGCGCAACCCCATCCGCTTTCGGTGCCATAACATCCCTTCTTAGACGACTACGGGCCGCACCAAGGACGCCACGTCGTCTTCTCTTTCCTTCGTGGTGGTGATCTCCCTGCTAGCGGGGGAGGGTGAGACAGCTTTGTCCCGTTGGGGAGGGTGGTTGTGTGTGTTCGCCGTGCCGAGGTATGGGGGAGGGTATGGTGAGGGCTGGGTTGTAGTGAAGTATGCCTGGGAACTGCCTTGTCTTGTATGTATGTATGAATGCGCGCGTTGGTAGTCTGCTAAGTGTGCTAACTATACCATACATACTGGAAGTACACCACGAAGATGAGTCTAGGCAGTTGAGCGATTGATAATACCTCCCCCCTTCCCACTCCCAAGACACCCATCCATCCATCCCTCTTCCCCGCCCCACTCGCCCGCTCACTCCCTTCCCTTCCCTCGCCAAGCCACCACGAGAGACCCACGAGCAGAGGGACGAGCCGCGCAACGTGGGCATGGACGTTATTGTTCTGCATGTGCGCGCGCGGTCCGAGGGTGCGCGTCCGACTGAGTGATGTGATGTGCTGATGGGGTGAGGTGAGATGCGTAGCGGTAGCGGTGGGCGGTGGTGGTGGTGGTGAAACGGTGGTGGCCGTGGGGCGGGGGTGGGTGGAGGGAGGGAAAGGGGGATTGGGGATTAGGACTGGGAATGGGAATGGGAATGGGGATTGGAGATGGGATTGGAGTGGCTATTGGAGATGGGATGGGGGATGGGAGGGGGGAAACAGGGTGGAGAGATGGTCCTGCCTGGCCTGGCCGGTATATACAAGGTGCCAGACCTCAGAGAGGAGTGTGCCAACGGTTTCTCCTCGGGAGTTGCATTCATTACCAGGTTCCCTGCTGCCCGTTGAACCACCACCGTTAGAGTACCACACACACAACGAGATAATCTAGATGGCTTTACTCTAAATCTCGCCATGGCCGCGCGCGGTATTGGAATAATCTCTCCGGCTCGCTCGGGATACCACGTCGAGTATTGGTTTTGTTGTATCCACTTGTCGCTGACAACGGGATGGGGGGAGAGGAGGGAGGGAGGTGGAGCGGCGGCGGTGTCAGATTATACTCTACCCCTTCCTTTGGGAACCCCCTTCTTTTTGGGGATGGAAATAGTGATGAAGGAGAGGGTGAAGAGGGGCCTCGGAGTAGTGATTGGGCCCGAGGTTTGGCCGGGGGATTATTTGGGGTTTGGGGATTTTTCTCAAAAGTTGCGTGTTTGTAGATGCCCCTTAGATCTATCTGTATTGTCCTGTCTTTGCGGATGCCCCAGGAATGTCAGGTTGGTTTTGCGATTTATACGTCTCTATTGTTCTGTCTTTGTGCTAGCTCAGGAGATATCAGGTTGATTTTGCGGTTTACTCTTCTCTATTGTCCTATCTTCCGAATCTCATATTACAAGTTTCGCCCCGTCTATTATACACGAAGGTGGCCACAGCCACGCTCTAGTTTGCGCTGGACCAGTCCTCCACGATCCCTTCTCTACACCCAGACGACGCCGCCCTTTCTATATCAATAGAAGGCACAGCAATGAAAACATCTCCAACGCCAGACAGTATAACCACCCCCTCGAGCCCCTCTCTAAAGCCAGACGCTGCCCTCCCACATCTCCATGCGAAGACAGACAGTAACGCCACACAAAAAGCCACCCCATATACTATAGAAATGCACTCCCTAACCCATAACAGACGTGACCATAACCGTAGTCGGATATCATAGAAAAGAAAACAAATGCAAACGCTCCAGTCCCCATCTCACATACACCTTCCTCTCCTCAATAAACGCCGTAGCCCACCCCATAACAGTGCATATGTCCATACTCCATCCCGAAATATTCAAGGCCGCAGCCCTCACTCCTCGATCCTCAATCTCTTGATCGAGCCCACAGCCGCAATAGCAGCCTTGCGCTTCGACCTTCCCGTCCCCGTCAGGACAGCGTCCTCGTACTCCATCCTAACCGGCGTCGACATAGCGGACTTGCGCTTCGACCTCCCCGTAGCCGTCACGGCAGGTTCGTCATCGACGTCTATGGTAACTGGCGTCGCAATCCCAGGAGTCTCAATCGTCGTCCCATCACTCAAGCTACCCGCACGACTCGCCGGGCTAGCCACCGCCTTCTCTTCAGCCTTCAGTCTATCCACCAGGGCCGCCGCATCAACCGCACGCTGGTAGTCGCGATCGATATCCGCCGCCAGCGCCTCCACAATGCGCATGTCCTCGGGCGACTCAGCGAAGTGCTCTGTGCACTTGTGGCATTGGACGTAGAAGGCGTTTGGCTGCTCAAAGTAGCCCAGCAGCTCGTACTCCTTCGTGTTGTCGCCGATCAGAGACGTCTTCTCGAAGTCGAGGCAGTCCTCGCAGAAGGCGCGTTCGCACCAGCGGCAGCGGTAGAGCATGCCGCCTGCGTCGGTGGTCTTTTGGTCGCAGTCTGCACACTGGTGTTGGGGACAGTTGAACTGCCATCCCTTAGTCTTTGATTGGAATTCGCGGTTGAGGCAGTTGAAGTGGAATGCACGGGGGCAGATGTTGCACAGGCTGAGGTTACCGCCGTCCAGGCAGACTTGACAGTGCGACTGGGCTGTAATCGGCGCCTTCTTTGGGCGTTTGGGCTCCGCGAGGCGGACGTCCTTGCCAGAGTAGGTGGGGACGGCTTCCCAATCTTTGCAGTTCATCGACTCCTTGCTGATCGCAAATCCGTCGACCATGACCGTGGTATTCTTGCCAATGCGACGATCCGCGCGGTTGAACTCATCTGCAATATCGCGGTAGCTCGAGGTCGCTTTGCCATTGCCAGCCGCTCTCGCTAGCTTCTTGCCCTCGAAGACGTGGGCTTCGACTCTCTCCATCTCGCCCAGCCACCTCGCCTCCTCCTCTTCATCAACCTTGGAATCTGGGAGCGTGTCCTTCTTCACATTGATGTCGGCAGGCTGATCTTTACACTTTTCAACAGTCGTCGCCCAATCCCAGCTCATCATTTCATTGACATCAATTTCAGGACGTGAAATAGCTGAAGTTCCTCGTCGAACAAGAGACATCAACTGGCCTGTGCTGAGCTGAGGCATCTCATCCTCCACATTCTCAGTGACGCGACCTCCGGGTCCCTTTTTGGACTTGCCTGCTTTCGTGTGGATATCCTGCAAGGACTCCGTGACCTTTGCCGACAAATACAGCTTCTTCTGGATCCGACCCAACATTTGTTCTTCAACAGTTCCTTGGCTGACAAGTTTATATATCGTTACAGGTTTCGTCTGACCAATTCGATGGGCGCGTGCTTCGGCCTGCACTGTGATTTGCGGGTTCCAATCCTGATCTAGGAAGATAACTTCGGTCGCGGACGTCAGGTTAATGCCCAGACCACCAGCCCGAGTTGAGATCAACATCACACGGCTTTCCGAAGCCAGGTCATTGAACAGGCGGATGGCGAGGTTTCGGCGAGCTCTGCTGGTACTCCCATCAAGTCGTGCAACTCGGAATTCGGATCCATTTCCACCGCGGATTGCCAGGAAGTCCTCGACAAGATCCAACATCCTAGTAAAGCCAGAAAATATCAGGATCTTCTTCTTTTGCTTGATAACCAATTCCTTGACCAACTTCTCCAACACGATAAACTTTCCAGAGGCGAGAATAAGGTGATCCCCTGGTACGCTATCTGCTGGCTCGGCATTTTGGATTTGATACGGATGGTTGCAGACCTTGCGGAGCTGCATCAACAGGTTCATCAACTTGCGCCATGAAGAGCTATTGTCTTTGCTGTCGGCACCTTCAGCCTCTTCTTTCCGCAGTGTTTCCTGGAGAATTGCCCGACTTTCCTTCCATTCGTCGCTGCCCACAAGCATATCATCCTCGAGGGTCTTCAACGCGGCATCTTGCTCTGCCGTGAGGATATTAGCTGCTCCGCCGTCATCTTTCATAGCTGCTTGTTCTTTGCCTTTAGCATCCTTGAAAAGGTCGTCAAGAAGACCTTTGTCGGCCCGCGTGATGAGTCTAGTGTACCAGAATCGCTGCATTGGGCTCAAGGGTACGAATAGAACCACTTCGGTCTTGGGTGGTAGGTTCAGATTGACGCCGTTCGAAGCTTTCATACGGCGAAGCATTATCAACTCCAGTAGAGTCCGGGAGGCGTCAAGGACATCATTCTTTACTTGCCCCTTGGATAGATTGAACGATTCCGCGAATAGTTCGCTCGTCTTGGCTATGAAAACCTCCGGGTACAGCCAATGAAGGAGCGCCCACAACTCCGCGAGGTTGTTCTGGACCGGCGTACCCGTTAGGATCAATCGATATTCTGCTTGCAAACCTTGTAGGGCTTTAGAAATGAGACTGAGGTCGTTCCTGCGTAGAAGTCAGTAATTGTATAATTAAATCGATTAAAAAGTCCGTACTTGATTTTGTGTCCTTCATCCAGAACAACATATCTCCATACGAAAGCCCGTTTGAACCAGCCCTGTTCCTTCTGATATGATTCGTAAGTTGCCACCACAACGTCGACCCCAGGTTCTTCCTCGTGGTCAGAAGCTGAGTCGATATCGATTATTGGCTTCCCAGACGCAGTACGCCGACCTTTCAGCTTGTTCTTTTGCCTCGTAGTTAAATTGCCGTAAAAGTCTATCTCTCCAGAGGCGATCTTCTTGATGCGATCACGTTCCTTGGCAGGGCCGTGAAAGCGGACAACTTTCAACCCAGGGGTCCATTTTCGCGATTCGGCCATCCAGCTGCTAAGAACAGATAATGGGCAGATCACAAGGAACGGTCGAATTTGGCCTCTTTTGGGTTCGTTCTCCTTGAGGTACTGGATCAACGACAAGGTTTGGAGAGTCTTACCAAGACCCATCTCATCTCCGAGAATGCCAGACAAGCCGTTACGGTGCAGATATACCAAAAACGAGAGTCCTGAAAGCTGGTATGACTTCATGGTTGCCTTTACACCACGAGGTTGGACTTTGAGCTCTTCGTAAGCAATGCTGCCACCCTTCTTGGCGCGCTCCTCTGCCGTAGATTCTTTCTCCATATCCACCAGTTTCTTGATATAATTGTGTTCGGTCGGGAGCAAAGGCAGGAAGTAGTCTTTCTTCTCGATGAAGAAGCGTCGTCGTTTTGCGGCGGTAGTGTTCTCGATTTCCTGTCGAACAGCAACTCGATCGGTAACGGGGGGTTTGAAGGCCAATTTGTTGGCATTTTCATCGTTTACGTCGACAACGGCATTCTTGTGCGCCTTCTATGAGTATGTCAGCATGGGTTCCAACTGCCATTTAATAAACTCACCGTTTGTCTGGGTACCGATGTTGTCGCTCGTAATGGCCTGCGCCTCTGCGTCTTTGGGGTATATTGGATGATTTCATCATTATCCAGGTTGATAACCCCGTCGTCAAGAAGATCTATGACAACTGGCTCTGGCTGGCCGGCGGAAGGCAGCTCAGGTCGCTGGGAGCCATTCGAGCCACTGGATACTGCTGGTGAAGCAGGAAGATTTGGGCGCACGGAGTGCCTTGGTGTGCTTGGACTTGCGATCATCTTGTGTTGGGTATGACTCGGTGAGAACTTGGCCAGGAGGCTCGATGCTGTGCTTCTGCGAAATAAAGGAGTTGCAGACCCTGGGGTCACTTGTGAGTCCATGACCGACGGCGCCGGTCCTAATGAGCTCTCCTATCCTATCTCCGATGTGTGTATGGTTGCCGCTTTCAGTCAAGCACTTCCCAAGGTATGCGCCGGATTTGGATGATGCGAAGAACGAATGTGGTCGGGGTTGGCGACGAATGAGGGCAAGGCGAAAGAAAGAACAAAGAGCGAAGATGTGATTGATTGATGCAATGTGGAAGAAAGTTATTGTGGTTTCCGCAAGAAGGCAAAGGAATCTATTGTTGGATATGCCCTCTCTGAAAGGCTGGAGCGAAGAAAGCAAGGTCTCTCAGCCTGGTTGCTGTGAAAGGTAATTAATTGGTGAACTGGAGAGGGATCCAGGCACGCGTGGGGTGGTGGATACGCGTAAAGTGCTTTTGACCCACGCGAAGTCGCGCAAGGCAAAAATTAAAGTTCGTCGCCGCACGGTCTTTCCAGCCTTCGGACAATAGTATTGCCGAAGGGTAGTAATCTGGCTTTGGGATCTCGACCGATAGGCTATTTTGGTAGGGTGCCGTAGCTTCAGGTGGTGTAAACATAGTGCAACAGACCTATCGTGGGTGAATAAAACGTCAATCCGACGTGCCACGAAAAACAAATTCACTCTCTACCTCGCCCAGCTAGTTCCTGAAGGTTTAGGTATTCGTAGGAGCCGTAATATTCAGGCTCTCAGGTACTTGGGTACATGGAAACTATGACATGGCCCGCTTCACTACAGTAAGCGTCGCTAGGTCTGATGGCCAGACAGAATTTCTTCAGAATGGCAGCCTGGTCCCGAATGAGCCGCCACGAAAAGATGAAGCACCAGGTCCAGATGGCTCCATTGATTTCTACCTGAAGCTCCAGGAAAACGACCCTACCGCCCTCGATTGGAAGCGAAAGCTGGGCGGTATGCTTGTGAGGGACATTGGGGGACCTGAACAAGCAGGCATGTTCCTGATACTACTACTTGAAAATACTATTTCTAACGATACCAAGGAACAAACTTCATCCTCGCCGAGCTCCCCAAAGACTATGTTCTTTGGCAACACCGCCGAGTGAAGGCCAAAAATGGCAAGACTAACGCCGACTCCGCCCGGCAAGACACCTATCTTTATGGCCATCCGAATGGAAAGGGCAGGTTTAGGAGCGCCCAGGAATTCTATCCGCATCTCTTATGGCTCGCCTGTGATCAGGAGAATGACTCGTTCCATAATTGCTCCTGCAAGTACTGTTTCTCAGATAGGATGGCAGGGAGTGACGCGGTCACCAAGTCTGCCCAGCCGGAAGCCCTCACCAAACCAATCGACGGCCGCGCAGAACCATCCAAGGCAACATTGCCTGCTCCTTTGGCCAGAAAAGCAGCAATTAAAACTGAACCTCGGACCACCCAAATTCTCAACTCCAAAACCGAGGAACAGAAATTGGACAGTAACCCAGCCAACGACTTCATCTACCGCCCCGGGGAAATCGTTTGGTTCAACAAGAGGACGAGCGCGTGGGGGCTTTCGGTAGTGCTAAAAAGGGACATACAGGATAACCAGCATCGTTACCTCTTGCAGCCGTTATCGCATCCTGTTAGCCACCCTGCTGCTGTCGTGAGAGATCGTGATTCAATCAGGCCCTGGCTTGCGTGGAGTGTTCCGTATCCTACCATTGCTCAACTCCGCGAGCTTACCTACGACCAAGTCCCATGGGCTAAGGTTGTGACTGGCGAATTTGGCAAGGGCGATCCGGAAGTGGACGGCAGTATTTTGGCTGCAAAGGCAATAAACGAGAGCTACTCATTATTCGACCGCGTTGATTTGCCCACAGCTCCAGGGGAGATGCACTATAAAGGAATGTTCCTTGGTGGCGAGAAGATTTGGGTTGGTGAACCCGTCAGGCTGATGGGCAGGACCAAAGACGAAATCGTTATTTTGGTTGTCAATCAGATGATTGAGAGGACAGTGGACGCAGCGAGTGCAGTCACAATCGTTGGGGATGTCTACAAGTTCATCGATATGCCGATGCCAGCCGAATATCAGGACCGGCAGAACTGGCCGGTCAACGAAGACCTTCCTGTACGCGTGAATGCTGATCTAAGCTTCCGCAATCAGGTCTCGGCTGACGCAGGTGGGAATACCTGGTGTGAATGGCGACTACTCGAGCCAATGGCGAGGAAGGGCTTGAACGATATTAAAGGCCGCTGGTACGAAACCAAACTCCTTCTTCCGATCCTACGAGGGAAGCCTACATTCGATCTAGACATGCAGGCCGGCACTATGTCTGATGCCAGTTTGTTCATGAATTCAAGATTTGAAGTTCTCGGCTCTGGCCCTGGAATGCGGAAGAAAAATCGGCTGGCCACCTTGGGGGGAGCAGTTCCAACTGACACCAAGATCAGCCGTGGGTTGGATGGGCCACTGGAGGATAATATTATACCAGCTCAGGCACAGTAATAGGGCGAACTTCAATAACTCTATCAGTCTGGACCCTGAAGACTGGCCTGGATGTTTGAAATACGGGGGGGGTTAGAAGCAAAGATTGTGGAGCGAGTGGATATCTTTACCGCGAAGGAATATCTGATATAATCTAACTATGGCGTTGCATTCTGCTATCACAAATATTTTAGAGGGCGCTGGGCAGCGTGTTGGAACGATTCAGGTACGCCAGGGCAACACGGGAAAAATGTCTCTCGGTTCGGCCCTCGCTAGAGTCATATTTTAGGAAATTTTAAAAAATACTTAAATCAATCAAACAACCGCTTCGTCGCACTCTCTATTGGTGCCAGTTGAACTAACAAGTAAGTGTATGCTGTATATATGATATATATATATAACTTTTGAGCGCTGAGTATCAAAGAGCCCATCACGCCCTCAGTGGCGCGGACGGCAAAAAGAAAGCTCCCTGCCCGGTTCGAACGAGCGACCTGAAGATCTGCAATCTCCCGCTCTACCACTGAGCTAAAGGAGCTGATTTGATAATAGGAAATGGTTAAACGCATTTGTGTACCTCTATCTCCACATAGGGCACCAAAATTATGGGTAATGGTGCCAGGGGGAGAGTGAGTAGTGTGGAGTACGAGCCACCTTGCAATAAAGGTGGGGGAATGCGGGGAAGAGAAAGAGGCAAGGCGAGGAGGGGCAAGAGACAAAAAGAAAGTCAGGTACGACATTAGGGAGCTGCGGGACTGCGGGAACAGCCAGCACTCTATTGTGTCTCTAACTGTTTGATTAGCCATTCACAATTGGCAAAAGATAAGCTCCCTGCCCGGTTCGAACGAGCGACCTGAAGATCTGCAATCTCCCGCTCTACCACTGAGCTAAAGGAGCGTGGTTGTTGTGATGTCGATGGTATGAAGGCTCATCAGTCATGATGTCGCTGTATATCGCACGATTATGCTAATTATGCTGTTATATAAGCACTGCCACCTGTCATATACGGCTCCAGCACAAGTGTTCAACAGCTTCTATCTGTTGGGTTGATGAAGTTGTGTGAATATATAAAGTTGGGCTAATATAATGAAACATTTGTTTTCTGTATTTATTTGGCCTGCTCTCGCAATTAACATATCTTTGCTTGAGCAGCCCCTATTAAAATACCATGATCAGCGGGAGCCTGAAGTATCAATTGTATGGTGTAAAGCATAGCGTGGTACTTCTTAAGATATGGTGTTACTGTGCACACAGCACACCCAACTATCGACCAAGCTCCGTGGCGCTAAGATTAGATAACCAAGAAGGCACCACAGTCGTGACTTGCGACCCCGCGGTTACCATCTTCTCCCTCCTTCCCTTCAAAGAATATAACCTCGCACTCCCTCCTCATACACTACTGGTGCCATATATTGAATGGCATGACCCATATACAGCCATGACTGAGATAATAAGCGGCCAGGTACCGCCTCTTATCCTTGGGCCTTCTGACAAAGAGAAGAAATACGACCGCCAGCTCCGATTATGGGCAGCAAACGGCCAACAGGCTCTAGAGGATGCCCATATTTGCCTGATAAACTCGGGTTCGGGAACTACAGGTGTTGAAACCTTGAAGAATCTTGTTCTCCCAGGTAATTATTTACTTTCCCCTTAGTAAGATGGTGCCAAGCTGACCTTGGTTCAGGAATTGGCCTGTTCACAATCGTCGACGACAAATCCGTGGAGGAGTCCGATCTGGGTGTCAATTTCTTCTTGGAAGAAGCAAGTTTGGGAAGGCCTCGCGCTGAATGCTGCACAGAGCTTCTCGCCGAGCTCAACCCAGACGCTACAGGCCATTGGGCGTCCAGCTTCGATGAACATTCGGCGTTTACGCTTGTCTTGTACACGACCCCAATCGACGACGAACTCCTCAAAACCGTCAAAAACTACTGCCATATCCACAAAGTACCACTAGTGTCCATCAATTCCCTCGGGTTCTACTCCTACTTCAATATTACCTTCAATGGCAACTTCCCCATAGCTGACACTCATCCCGATTCAACGGCAACCACAGACCTGAGGCTCTTGACTCCTTGGCCAGAGCTAATAGAGTTTGCCCAAGAGTTGACTATTGATATCGACAATCTCAGTGCCCACAAGCATGGACATGTCCCTTACGTAGCACTTCTGCTGCATTACTTGGAGGAATGGAAAGCCGAGAACTCAGGAAGCGTACCTCAATCGTATGCCGACAAAGTTAAGTTCCGGAAGATAGTAGCAGCTGGAGCACGTACCGATAGCCCCGAGGGAGCTGAAGAGAACTATGATGAAGCTACAGCTGCTGTATTGAAGACCGTGTCGTTGCCTGGTCTTCCTAGCTCTGTTAGGGAAGTTTTTGAGTATCAGCCAAATCAAGTAAGATATTCCAATCCACTGGGAAGAAAATAATCTAACGTGATAGGATGAGGCGAAATCTGGGTTCTGGATTATTACAGAGGCAATTAAGCAGTTTCACGCGAAACATGGTGCCCTCCCCTTGCCCGGATCGGTTCCAGATATGAAGGCCGAGTCGGAGGTCTATATCCAGCTTCAAAGCATATATAAGAAAAAAGCCCGACAGGATGTTGATGAAATTTTGGAAATTTTGGGCACTATCCCCAACGGAAACGAGGTTGAGAAGGAAGAAGTTGAGACATATTGCAAGAATGCTGCATTTATCAAACTTGTCCGGGAGTCAGCGCCAGATACTGACAGAATAAAACAACTTGCAGGTAAGCCGTTGCAAACTACCACCTCACCTACTCAAGGCTAATATTCAATCAAAGACTCGGAGCTAAATGCAGAATTCGAGCTGCAACCAACACTATTACCCGTCTACCTCGCCCTCAAAGGCAGCGAGTCCGCAAAACCAGAAGCAGGCGCGGCCGCGGCATCAGCACCCCAGATTTTGAGCGAAATATCCAAGATCGTCCCAGATGCAGCCAGTGATGATAGGCTCGCCCGAGTGGCAACTGAAGTAGCTCGAGCACAGGGTGGCGAGCTACACAACATTGCGGCTCTGACTGGTGGTATGGTGGCCCAGGAAGTGATCAAAATCATTACGAAGCAGTATATTCCCATCGACAACACGTGCGTGTTTGATGGGATTGTGAGTCGCTCTCAGATTTTCAGGATCTAGCCTGTCATGGTTAAAACTTGGGATCTGAGGATAGGGTCACTTGGAGCTACATATATTCATGAGTGAGTATCAACGGATGGCGTTTGCTGCGGTTTAGCGTGTTTTCTCGCACCACACAATGATGTTGATAAGGTGTATTCAGATGAAGAGTTGGGTCGCGGTGGAGGCCCAATGCTCCACTGCCAAAACCTGGGAGGTGAAGAAACCATAAGAGTTCGGTTATTGCAAGTTGCCAGCTGCAGTAATACTTTACAAGATGGAAAACACAATGGAAAATGACTAGGCAACGTGCATCATTATGTAGACTGTTATAAAGCTAGGAGAGCGAATTACCGAAGGCCCAGAGGCCGTGGATTCCATTTCTGCTACCTAACAATCCAGTCTTTGCCTTGACTATTTTTCCTCCTTATTGCGAGATACCAATAAGAAATTCGTGAATATGTAAAAACATAAATAGGTATATGATGGCCCCATACATCAGTCCTGCCAAAGGTATAAACATATACCAGGAATCCAAGCCCTTTCATCCATGTTCAAAACACCCTGACGCCTATCCAACAAGCAGTCCAGTCGTAGATACATCGCGTGCCCCAGAGCAAGGTAAAATTATCCTTGGTTCATCATGTAGCTGTTATCGTATTGCCCCTGGCCATATTGCATACCTTCGTCATCCCCATTCGGCATCCCGTCAAACGGCATATCAAGACCGTCCGGCAAGTTGCCCCAGAGCATCCCATCCAAGTCCCATATGCTCTGGTTGTCAAGGAGCATCCCCTCCTCCATCATCATCTCCGTTATCTGCTGCGCTTGTTGGGCGTGATGTGCCCTCTCCGTGCCAGGCGACATGTCACTATCAGCGATATGCTGGTACGCTTGTCCGCTCCCATCTCCGGACTCCATCTGACCGTCCCGTTGCGCTTGCAGCCTCGGGCTTCCCTGGCGCGTAATAGGCCCCTTACTCGCCTCATACATCCGGCCGACTACCTCCCTGCTCCGCCTCGCAGCCAGACTCCAGTCCGCCATGTCGGCAAAGCACTCCAGCACAATCTCGATCTGGCGTTGCCATTCCCTCACCATAGACGTGTTCCCGCTCTCCCAGAACATGCTGACTAGAGGGATCATAGACGCCTGGTACATGAACCACACCGCATTCCAGCCGGACATCTGGTTCTGCGTCCACTCTCGGGAGATGTCATCGATAGTTTGCTTAGCCATCGCGCGACAAAGCTCGACGGCACTGAGTTCCTCGACTGTGGGGTGGTAGTTTGCGCCGCGGTTGGCGAGGTTGAGAAGCACGGGGCGGTGGAGCACAATGCGTATGTTCTGGTATCGCCATTTCAGCACGCAGCGCGCTGTATATAGGGCTTCTGGGCAGGGGTCTGTGGAGCGCAGGACCCAGGGGAGTTTGTCGGACCATTCGACGAGTTGCGCATCGAGTTTGCTGCGTTCCTCTGCACGGGGGAGAGGGGATAGAGCCATTGTGTCTTGGATCTGAGTGGCTATCCTGGCGAACTTGATGTTCTCAATCAGGGGAACTACGCGGATGTGTTGGCCAGTGGTGGAGTTTTCATTCTGGATACTGGTTAGCATAAGTGGAGTCATGGGATATGTGAGAAGACCTACAGCATCATTGGCGCCCTCGGGTGGTCGGATGGTGACCGCTGGACCCAACCTACCCAGTGAAGGGCGTCCGAGGGTCATTGACGCCCAAGTGTCTAGACAGAATAAACTCCACCATGTTCGACGCCGCAAATCGGCTAGCATCTTCTCTCTTTCACCGCCATTCACATCTACGCCATGCTCTCGATGGAGGCCAAGTGCACATGCCATCCGCAAAGCAGCACCAGTAATGGCATTCGCCATATTTGGTCGATTGATATAGTGTAGATAATAGCCTCCTGTCAATATCAAGGCCTGTAGAGTTTCCAAATGCCCTTCTCCAAAGCAATCCAAGTTGAGATGGTCCCGAGATCGCTCGTAAAAGTTCATGTGATTGTGGTCATCCGATTTCATCGCTGCAATGCTGCCCATGGCAAATACCATATTTAATAAGGCAAGCCATGGGGAATCATGGCGTTGACCACCCAGGTAATCGGCTCGAAAGGATGGCTCATCAAGCATAGGAATGAAAATTTGAACTCTGTTGAAGTACGCGTCGATAAGAGTCTGCCCCTCCGAAGACCAGGCTATCCGGGAAGACGGCCGAGGTGTCGGATTGTGTCGCGGGTTTGGATTGTTGCTCTGTCGGACCTGAACTGTGCGTCGATTTTCCGCCGTTGGTGGCATGAGATACGATCGTAACCTCGGGGATACCTTGACCATAACCATAAGGGCAGCTTTGATCGAGGATGCCCCCAGATACGACGATTGCCGGTCCACTGAGAGTGACAAGGCGTTCACATCGTCAGACTCGGAGGGTATAGCCTCCCGATTCCGCCTCTCCTCATCCCATTCTGTGTCCTGGCTTGGTATTTGTTCGAGGGTTGCAAGGCTTCTGTCCTCTTCCACGCCCGAGCTGTTGGGTGATCGATATTCCTGTGTCGTTGCAGAGTTCATGGAGCCCGCTGGTGAGGTCTGGGATATGGACGCCGCACTCGCGCGATGATCGAGGATCGAAACGAGCTCATGCCGTGATAGTGGTAATAATGACTGGACATCTGTGTTGGGGTATAGCTTCTTTAGAATAGAGCGGCATTCGTCTAGCGACTGTTGCAGTGCATCGAGAGTTCTGTGCAAGAAATCAGTGACGGTATGCGAGCTTGGACAAGGTGGTACTACTTCCGCGAGGGTATTACTCTCTGCCTGTGCTTGTCATAGTAGCACGGCTTCGGAGAACGACACCCCAAGCATTGTCCGCAGGGCTGCCTCCCATCGCATCGAATTTTGCGCCGTTTGCATTCAGCACAGGCATGAGGGGTCGTTATTCTCTTCGAGTTTCCATTCGCTGGGGGCTTCGGAGCTTCCTGGGCCACCTCGGCAGCAGGTCGCGGTGGAGCAAGGCCTTGAACTATTGCAATATTAGCGGCGAGGAGCGGCTCGATGTTCGTCTGATCGTCTACATACATGTATGGAACATAGCGTTCGCAGGCTCGCTGGCGGGACGCATGGGGAGCGATGTCGGTCGAGAGAATTCGACCCTTTGATGTTTCCACGGGTACTGATAAGCGGGGAAACACAGAGGACCACGAAACGAGGTGACGAGGTCGCGGCGGCTGGGATTCGACAAGTGTTGAAGAGGGCACAGTGTAGAGGGAATCACAAGAAGTGAAGGTAAATGTACGCCGAAGGAGGGGAAAAGAAGTGGTCGGTCGGCCAGCCCATCCGGTAGTTGGTCCTGTAGAGTACAAAGTATGTATGGTACTATATGTATGCTCAGTACAGTACGGTGGTGCGGCGCAAAACTGTAAATCTGCTGTACTGTGTAGTGGAATATATGCACTCTCATAGACCTCAGTAAGTGCAAATTCGGGTCTCACTGTCGGAATAGCCCCATAATAATACTGGTGGAGATGTAAAGTTGTGTACGCATGTACAGCATAGTAATCCGGGGATGCATCGTAGGTACCTGACTGTACTTCTCCAGACACGGCACCACGACGGGGAAGGGGAAGAGGAAGCAGACAAGGCCCAATAGGAGAATTATAGCTACATGCACTACAAAGTACATGCCCTCATACTTCAGCACTTCAGTTCTCTGTGGTGGCTCCGTCGCCTTGGGGAAAATATCCACCCATCAACGATGTGATATCGACGGCGTCTTGACTGGGAACGCCAGGAAAACCCCAGCGTCGTGCCGATTGTGGAGATGCGCCGGGCGCGCCAGCCAGTTACTGTTGCTAGTCGACTGCAGTCACTACTGGAGTAGGAGTTAGTATACTTTGGTATAGTACAGCTGCCTCCACTCCTACCCCACACAACGCTTCGTTCATCGTTCTGATCTTCACTTCTTCAGGGTCTGATGTGTTGAAGGTCCAGTATTTTGAAGGGGTCCAAGTGGGACAACCAATTTGCGAAGGGAAATACATCTCGAGTCTGAGAGCGCATCAGCACAACGTCTCACCACAATATACTACGCTTTGTGAGGATGATCTCGCCCAGTCCCCCCGCACATGTGCCAAGTCTGGGCTTTCCCTTGTCATCGCGAGTTTTCGTGGATTGTATGAATTTGCCTCGCTATAGTCAGCATAGTCGATGCCACGTTTTGCTCCTCCTGTTAGATTGCAACTCTGTGCGTTGGAGAAGTGTGTGTGCCACAGAAAATCATCTCTTCTTTAAGCCCCCCGGATCGGTTGCGCGAGTACCCATGGAACATTCGAACCTTCCATGGGATGTGGAGTTCGACGAGGGACGAGCGTTTTGTACTTTAGGTGCTTCCAATATAGTGCTACATGGTGTAAGTTAGCTTCGATAGGATAACAGGACAAAGACAAACAATACCGTGAGTAATACGATTTCACCGCATACTAGAGAGGTAACTCTCTCTTGGGGACAAAACGATGAGTATCAAATCCAATAATATATATCGATTCATACTATCAAACACTTATTCATCCAGATATATAGATCGAGCAATAGTTGATAGAGGAATAGTTGCAATGGGCAAAGGCTTGGCTAGAGTGTACCCCACCATTCTCCAGTCTCGTGCACTAGCGGCCGCCCCCACCTTCTCCTCCATGATACTGTAGGTTGCGAATTGGCGTACAACCTTCACATGTGCTCAACCGCCTTTCCTCTCGCTCACAATACGCGGAAGAGAGGGGACGACAATGTTAATATTTGATTTGTGAAGACTTGGTTCTTGTTGAGCCTTTTTGTCAACTGTGCAACGAATTCTGCTATGATGGAGTGTGGCCTTCGGTGCAACACTCTGGCTTGCCGTAAGGAGCTCAGTGAAGAAGCCATTGTTACAACTTGCAGGTATGCTATGGCTAGGGGAATTGTGCCGTAATCCATCTATTGTATACTGACTAACACAACATAGCCATGTCTTCTGCCTCGATTGCGCCAATCGACTTCTATTGGCCAATGGATCGAATCGCATAGTTTGTCCAGCATGCGATCAACATCTCGCCAATGAAGATGATGTGGCAAGAGCAAAGCTCCATCCAAGTGAAGACTATAAAACAAGCGTTCTCAGTGGCTTAAACCCAAATACGATCATGGAGTGTGCTGGACGAGCCATGAATTTCTGGGCCTACCAGACATCACAAGAAATGTAGGTGCGTCTGGGCCATTACTATTCACGGTAGCTAACCTGCCTCCAGTTTGTATCAAGGGATGCAGGCACGAGTTCTTACAGATAGATACAATAAATTGAAAGGCCAAATCGATTCGATTGTCCGCGACGCTAATAACGAGATGTCAGCATTGAGGACCGAGCTTGACAGTAAGTTGAATGGTAAAGTCTTCTTTTATGAGACCAAGCTTATCTCTTGACAAAGATGCGATGACTGATCTCAACAATGCTCAAAAGAAAAACCATGAACTGGCCCAATCTTTGCATGCAAAATCGAAGCAGCAGGCTCATACGCAGGAGCTTTACGATAAACTGAAGCGTCGAGATCAAATGAGCCAGGTCCAGAATGCAGCATCTGACGCAGTGGATCAAACGATTCAAGGTTCAGCAACTGCAAATGGATATTCCGACCACTTCAGAAAAGCCAATGACCCACCTTTTCGACCTCCTGTTTTCCCATCGCTGCAAGGAAACTCAATGGGCCCGCCACCTGTTCCAACATCGATGCCGCTGCCTAGCGTAGCTGGTCGAACTGGATTGAGCAATGGGTGGATTGGCTTTACTAGCCAGGGGAATAATAACCAGGGCATTTTTTCCCACCCCTTTACTCAAGCTGCAATGCTGATTATTTATACAGGTCATGTCGTTGCACACACACCTTCGAGCCAGCGGCAAAGACTTATCGGCGAGCCCAACGTTGGGATAGCTGTATCCAACATGAACTCTCGTAGCCTCAGCACCCCTATGCAGCCTCGACATTCCCCAGCACGAGGTCTGTTTGGAGGCATGAGGTCCAGTGGATCAGGTGGAAACGGCTTCGCTGGGTACGGGATGAGCGCTGGATTGAAGGTCAGCCACACACCACCACTGGGAGTTGAGGGGATGCGAAGTATGAGCAGGACTGGACCCATGCCAAGAGGTATGGCTCTCAATCTCCCCTCCCGCAAAACCTATCTAATTAATTCTCAATAGTTGCCCAAAGGCCAGCCTCAGCTAACTTCATGGGTGGCCGCTCGTCAGTATACGGAGAGGGTCCTGGACTCGGCAACCAAGGAGGGTTCTACTAACTTATCGCTATCAGATAACAATACATAACACCTTGCTATACAGATATGCTACACACGCACTAACTGGTTGAACAATAGAATGTCACGCTCTTCATGTACTTTAGAAGTGCCAGAACGGCGGGATGTTTATGTCCCTAGCTTGCTTTAGAGAAACTAGGCAGCGGTGAAGCCGTTCGGGGCTGACTACATCAAAAATAGCTTATCTACAATTGCCAAATGCGTCCATACTTGAAAATAAACGTGCTCCGCCCACGATCGCTGAATGGAACGGCCAGCACCCTGTGGGCGCCCTTCCTGACGGCCAAATCGGGTCCCAGACTACGACACTTGCATTCTGGGAGGTTTAAAACGCCTATTCTCAGTAAATAGTGCGAGATGTAGATGTTTAGTTAGCTGTTAGCAATTATACAGTACATTTATATACAGATAATCGTAAGGATATGATTTTCGATGGCTGCTTTGTACTGCAGAGAACAAGAACAGTACGTATCTTACATACTACACGCGGATATTTGAACGCTGCAGGGTAAATTTCTAGTTTAACGGCTTCAACACAATCTTCCACTCACTAGCAGTTTCGGATAAGGCCGATCTATTTCTGGCATATTTTATAATAATACGGTCAACCTTCAAACCAATCAACGGTCAAAATATGCACCCTTGCCCGCGCAGATACGCCATAATCATCATAATAATACAACTTCCCTATTCGGTGAATTCGCTGGGAATACGAACAATCTAATACAGCCATACAACTCCTCCCCGCTCCTCCCCCCTCATCGCCACACGTAAGCTACGCCGCAATCCTTCAAGCCGTGGAGATTTCTTTTCCGTTTCCCAATACCTTCGTTCCCGCTCAATTGTCTGCTCAACCACATTCGTTTCCACAGCCGCGTCCCCGGTCAAGAACCGCCATCCCTCGTTTCAGGCACTCGTCATCGCCCTAATCCATCAAGACACCCACGCCATTTTGACTGTTTTCCTCGATCAAACAGACAGAACGGCCTCATTGGGAGCTTGAACAACCTGCTACTATAAAATATATATCGCCACCCTCATGGGTAAACGTATGGCTGGACCCTCCACCACTTCACATTCGCCCACGATGCTAATTATTTGTCGCAGACCGATGGGGAGTCATACTGGACGCGGGTTCGTCAGGGACTCGAGCGCACATATATAAATGGCGGCATAGCGACTATGCGAAGGAGAAGGCCTCGTCGAAAGATTTGAAGAGCCTGCCGCATCTCAAGACACACAAGAAATGGACCAAAAAGATACACCCCGGCATTTCGACATTCGGCGAGCGGCCAACAGATGTCGGAGAAGACCACTTGAAGGAATTACTCGACCATGCTCTCGATATCGTACCGGCTGATCAGGTCGCGGACACGCCAATATTTCTGATGGCAACAGCTGGGATGCGCCTGCTTCCTCCTATACAACAAGCTGCACTTCTACGCGAAGTCTGTACATATGCAAGAGCCAACACGAAGTTCTCGCTACCCGATTGCGACCTACACATTCAGATTATTCCTGGGGAGACAGAGGGTTTGTACGGCTGGATCGCAGCAAACTACCTTGTTGGTGGCTTCGACACGCCCGAAGAACACGCTCATGGAAAAGACCACCACACGTATGGATTTCTCGATATGGGCGGTGCTTCAGCACAAATTGCATTTGCACCCAATGCAACAGAGGCACAGAAGCATGCGGACGATTTAAAACTACTACGAATGCGAACCCTGGATGGAGTGGTGTCGGAATATAAAGTCTTCGTTGCGAGTTGGCTGGGATTTGGCGTCAACCAGGCGAGACAGCGATATGTATCAGCATTAGTTGACTCGGTGGACTCGAGCAAATCCTTGGAAATCCCAGATCCATGTATAGTCACCGGTCTGACATTGTCAGTTGATGGCACCATTCTGGATCCGGATGCGGCGCGGCACGGTTCGAAGCCATACTTAACAGGTCAAGGTTCATTCACCGAGTGTTTGAAGAAGACATATCCATTGCTTGAAAAAGATGCAGCATGCATAGACGAACCATGTCTAATTAACGGACAGCACGTACCAGCCATCGACTTCGATGTAAATCACTTCATTGGAGTCTCGGAATACTGGCATACAACGCACGAATTCTTTCAACTGTCCCATAACGAAGAGAGTTATGATTTTACAAAATTTCAAAGCCGAGTACGAGAGTTTTGTAATTTGGACTGGGATGAAATCGAGCGAGGCGTCGATACAAAAAAGTGGGGGAAGAAAGTGGATGAGAAAGCCGCCTTGGAAATATGCTTTAAAGCATCTTGGTTAACCAGCATCCTACATGAGGGCATCGGCATACCACGGCTTGGCGTTGACGGGATCCCAAAGGGCGTTAATGGAACAAACGACGCTGTCCGGAATACAAAGGAAACTGGGTATTTGGATCCCTTCCAGGCCGTGGACAAAATTGATGGTACAGAAGTCAGTTGGACTTTGGGAAAGATGGTACTCTATGCTGCCGGCCAGATAGAACCCCAAGGAAAGGATCTTCCCGTCGGCTTTGGATCCAACGTACCGTCTGGTATCTCAAGTGACTTTCAGCGGGCAGGGTCAACATATACACCATGGAAGGGCGGGGACGATGATGATGATTGGGACGACAAGATACTTCATAAGGCATCAAAGCCGTCAACCGGTCTGTTCATTATGATCTTCATACTTGGCTTCCTTTTCTACATATTCCGCAAGAAAGAGCGCCGATCGAGAGTCTACGGAAAGATATCCTCAGCCATACGCCGTAGCAGAAATAAGAAAGGCGGGCGCAGCTTCTTCAGTGCCAGCAAATTGTTCGGCCGCAAGTCTGGCTACTACGAAAGGGTCCTCGAAGAAGGGGATGGAGTCAATGACTTTGAATTGGCCGATGTGGACTCCGATGATAGCAATGAGGCATCTGATGGCAGCGAAGGCAGCAGCGGCGCACGTGCCTCTGGCTTGGCAACCCCTAAACTCAACGTCGTCAACTACGGAGATGGAAACTTTTTCAGCCCCGTTGGTACTCATGGCTTTCATGCCGATGGCAGCTTAACGTCGAATCATTTACTACCCAATGCTATGGACAGGAGCGGCTTGGTTGTGAGAACTGAGTCAAGGGAGAGATTAGCGCCAAGCTTGACAAGCGTGGGATCAGGAAGGAGCAGGAGTAGGGCTGGGAGTCCGACGAGAAAAAGCCCCTTAATGAGCCCCGTGGACGAGGATTGAAGGAGGTTAAGTGTTTTTATTCTTGTTTCAATATAATAGTGTACGGGTTTTTATTAGTAGCGTGGCGCTTATTCTGTGGGCAGTGGCATACGGTGTTTGTGGCATATGGCAAGGAATCGGGTTGGCGTCTCTTCATGTGCCATGGTGGATGGCATTTATATCACGATACTTTTGGAACCGAACTGGGTGGTCGGCAGCAGCATGTATGTATGTTAGCATAGTAAGTAATTACTTAAATTAAAGCATCTAGTTGCTGTCTTGCATAGCTTGTTTATATATACACAACTGTTGTATAAAATCCTCGTAAATGTCCCAAATCTTCGTCTCCAATATGACGATAACATCTGCAATCCGTTCAATCTCTCTATTCGCCGGGGATATCAAGGTTTTACAGCCCATCTCATTTCTCAGGTCACACCCCTCACTCTAGGGTTTCGGAAGTGGCATCTTGATGAAGGATGACTCCTCGGCTGCCAGACTAGAAACCCCATTTTGGGCACCAGCTGTGCTCTTCCAGGGTTGGTGCTCCATGCCCAATTCCATGAGTGAGCTGGCGCCGGTGACGCCGCAGGGTCTGATATCCCGCCTCCAAATGCTAGAACCCGCTCCTACAGCAGCGTGCTTCAATCTGCATCCCTCATCAAAAACTCCGGGTCGTTCTTTACCCTAGCCTCAAACTTCGTCCACCAATTTTCGAAAGCCTTCAGCGGCACTACCTCCACCCCAGCCGTCCCATTGCTTCCTGAAACCGGCACGTTTCCCGCGAAGCTCGCCAGGAAGTTGAATGCGTTTTTAATGATCCTCTGCGCTAGCACCAGCGCATCGGTTCTCTGCGCCCCGCCATCCTGCATCCTTACGAGGGCATTCCCTGGCGTGGCTGCGGCGCTACGTTGTTGTAATGTGGCATTTGAAGACGGCAGAGCTGCCATCTGGGCATTCACTGACTCGCTGGACTCGACGGATATCCCAAGGATAAGATTGCGTTCACCAGGCCCTTCGGGGGCATCCATGTCAACCTCTCCATTGATAGCGTTCGACCCGTTTCCGTTTGAGGAAGTGCCACCAACTTTAAAGATTGCACTTTCCTTTCCTGGGCCAATGCCGCCGAGAAACTTAAACTCCGGGGCCTGGCCCTCGTTGGTCGGGGAGGACGCTAGGTATACAGCCGCGGCGGTGTCTGGTGGGAGAGTGATGCCGGGGAGGAGAACGACGACAATATGTGAGAATGGGCGCGCAGGAAGGTTGAAGAGGAGTGAGGTCGGTGCCGGCGCAGTAGTGGGGGTGGTTATAATGGGACAGCCGGTCGGTATGACTCCGAAGAGTTGGGGAAGAGCCATTGCAATCCTAATATGGCGTTCTTGAGATGGCAGCAATTTCGTCGTCGCAAAAGCCGTTGCGAAATTGGCAGATATAGATGCGATCCGCGGGGTGTATATCGCCTCGTTTTCGATTAAATGGCTTCGATGAGATTATGGACACCGTCGAGGCCGTATAATATATTGTTTGAATAATCTAGACGCTTTGGAAGAACTGCCTTTGTGGTAATGATGTTGGTGGGATAGGTGCTCTACTTGTTGCGGGTAAGCTGTCTGTAGCCATTTGGATAGCTCATGAAAGTACGTACCTTGGCTTGGTGGGGTGTTCGTCCAGAAGTGCGGGGCAGAACCACTCCAAATGTCGCCGGCACCAACAGGAACCTTCTGGCATGGGATCGAATTCCTCCGCAGCGTTGCTGTCTGACGATTTTGTAAATAGACCACGTCGACTAAATTGCCGTTATATTATACACCGACATAAATTTGCCCTTTTTTTATTTTACTTAAGAATCAACATCTGGGCCATTAGCGGTTTGATCTCAAAATGGCGGCCTCAAAGAGCAACTTAGATCTTGTCAATGATTGTGACTGGTAAGCACCTCATATTCCACAATCCCGACGATATTTTCAGTTGAGGGTTTGATGTGTCTTCAGTTTTCCCTATGCCGAAAAGGACCCAAAGGCTCATGCGGAGCTCATGTCCACTCTGTTCACCCTGACCTGGGACGATGGCGTAAACAAGGTACCGATTGGCCTCATGACCGAGAACGTCCTGAATAAGCTCGTAAAGACACCTGTCGCGGTCAAAGGAGAGCTCGAAGTACGCCGCGAGCAGCGCGAAGTTTGTGTTTTCCAGGAGAAAACCGAGAAAGAGAGGAGTGAGTGGGTAGCTTTGACAACGGCATACTGGCGGGAGAACAAACAATTTGAAATTCTTGAAGGTTGGAGGAATGAGCTATACCCTGTCTATGGACCAAACAATGAGCTTCTTTATAGCGTTGAAAGAACTGCTGCAGCACTACTGGGGGTCGTCATGTACGGTGCACATATGATGGCTTATGTCAAGTCTCCAGAATCCAGTTACGGGATTAAATTATGGATTCCACGACGGGCCGCGAATAAACAGACTTATGGTGGGATGCTGGACAACACTGTGGCTGGTGGGATGGCTACAGGAGAAGACCCCTTCGAATGCATCATCCGGGAGGCAGATGAGGAGGCCAGCTTACCAGACAAGTTAGTCAGGGAAAATGCTATCGCCCACGGCGCTGTCACCTATATTTACATGAGGTCAAAACTGGCAACTGGGGAGGTTGGGCTTATTCAACCAGAGGTCCAGTATGTGTTTGACCTGGAACTGCCAGAAGATGTTGCTCCAAAGCCGAATGATAGCGAGGTGGAATGCTTCTATCTCTGGACGGTGGAGGAGGTACAGGAACACATGCGCAAGGGAGAATTCAAGCCCAACTGCGCCCTCCTCCTGCTCGACTTCTTTATCAGACACGGGATCCTAACACCGGAAAACGAGCCCGATTTTGACGAGATTAAGAGCAGGCTACACAGGCCGTTGAACTTCCCAGGACCACATGTAGCGCTGGTTTAATTTTAATTTTGGCATTTAGAATTACCATTAACTCGACGCCATCTAACTTTCCGTTTCCTGAACGCCCATCCCTAACCAGCTATGCACCAGACGAGAGCCACTGTGAACCCGAGAACCTTGCATAGAGCGCAACCCATGCGTAACCTATCATTTCTTAATAAGCAGATAGATGTAATCCACCCGCAATGGAGTGAGCTTCTTGTAGGGCCCCTCCAGTGCTAACAAAAGCCCGCCGAAAGATACATAACATTTGCTGCATTGAATTGTCAGACACGAGAAGTTGCTTTGGGGGGTGGGGTATGTCTCGAGTGAGGAGTCTTACATTATATTTCCATCATCTCCATCCTCGAACTTGTAGATCTTGCCATGGCAGACGTAGTCAAATAGGTCCGCAAGTGTGGCTTCGCCACCCTGTCCACTTCGCCCAACGTCTCTCCAGCCTTTGTTGTCATCTTTGCTCCCATCCAACGAGAGGGTGCTGGCCAGAACCATGTGCAGTGGCTCGCCAACGGCGCATGGGAAGAGTTCGGTGTTGATATCGAGAGCAAAGGTTGTTTGCGAGTCTTGGGACGTTGCGCTGATACGAGAGACACGGTCATATTTGGATTGGTCACTTGCTGTGATGGTGAAGTGCTCATCGAACAGCTGCGAGTCGCTGGTCATGCCAGACATCTTGGCAGAAGATCTTTGGCAATTGCGTATATATATGCGGTGATTGCGATGCAAGAAATGGCAAGAGCGAGTGTTGCCTGATTGTCAGAGGTATGGGCGCGCGAAAAATAGTTCTTCAGTGAAGGAGCTGGACAATGCCGAAACTGGCGTCGGAAACTAGTCGGTGCAGCGGTGCTCAAAGAGGCGCAAATAGAGTCTAACTTGCTGTCAGTATATTCCATACGCTCTAACTTTAATTTCAAATTTGATTTAGATTGACTTACCTTGAACTACTCTCAACCACAAGTCGTTCTTGTCCTTTTGGTCGGCGGTTGTGAGAGTTGGAGAATTCACCAAGGACGGATAAACAAGCGCCCGAGAATAGAGGGGAGATCCCAAACCCATAAAACCTTAAACCAAACTAAGGTGACTTTGCGTCACACATACCCCCCCCCATTGAAGCAAATCAATATCAAAAATCTAAGGCATGTCATTTCGAAAAAGAAATGTAGTTGTCTCTTCACCTGGGGCCGCTACACCACCTCCAAGTGCTGCAGAAAAGAATGTGGTTCCAGGTGTGCGACCTTCGCCAATCGATGGACGACCTACCACATCGACCGGAACGAGATCCCTTGATAGTTTGCTGGGTGGGCATGCTGGTTTACCTCTAGGGACCTCCCTCCTCATTGAAGAGAGTGGTGCTACGGACTTTTCGGGTGCATTGCTTCGGTACTATGCTGCTGAAGGCGTTTTACAGGGTCACTGCGTTCATGTGCTTGGAGTCGATGATTCCTGGGCGCGTGAGTTGCCCGGTGTTCAGGCTTCGTCATCGCTGCCTGCTGGGAAATCTGGACAGAATGCTGCTGCCGAGAAAATGAAGATTGCGTGGAGGTATGAGAGGCTTGGGGAATTTGGAAAAGGTGGGCGCTCTTGTGCCATGCCGGACAGTCATCAAGGATTACTGCCCATTGAGGAATTTTGGACCCGATGCTGACCCTCGACATGTATAGATAGGCAATCAGGCCCCCAAACTAGCACGGGTTCTAATGACTTGAGCGGTCAAGCAGTCTTTTGTCACGATTTTGATCTCAGCAAGCGCCTGACTCTCCCCGATCCAACGCTTCTACGATGCGTCCCTGTGCATACTCAGGCGGGCGCTATTATCACCGGCGATGAGGGCATAAGATCCCCATTTGACGGCTTTCTGCGGCATTTGGTGGCACAAATCTCTTCCCTGCCACCAGGAACGATCCACCGCGTCGTCATTCCCACCATTCTTTCCCCCGTGGCATATCCAAGTGCGGCATCAGATCCCCGGCATGTCTTGCAGTTTCTTCATGCAATCCGCGCCCTTCTCCGCCGATTTCCAAACCAACTAACTGTCATGACATCGCTACCTCTATCCCTCTACCCTCGCGTGTCCGGCTTGACGCGCTGGATGGAGATACTGAGCGATGGAGTGTTGGAGCTTGCCCCCTTTCCATCACATGCGAACCTTGCTCTAGCTACTAGCGTACCTAGTTCAACAATTCTGCAGGAGGAGCCTCCACAGGGGTTACTAAGGGTCTATGAGCTGCCGATATTGCACGAAAAGGGCGGGGGGGAGCACCAGAGCGGGTATACCGACGACTTGGCGTTTACACTGAGTAGGAGGAAGGGTCTAACAATAAAGCCCTTTAGCCTGCCACCACTTGATAGCGACGACAGTCCTGATTCACACCATCATGAGTCTGGTCACAGTCATGGGAAATCTACTAAAGTGGACATAGAGTTTTGATGCAAATCAATATGGTCAAGTCCAATGCTACGGTTTACGCTCTGGAGGCTGCCTCTAGGTGCAACAGACTGGTGACCTTGTGCCAGTCACCAGCTATGACAAGGTAGGAAAGCCTGGAACATACCATATGGATACAAACCAATATATTGTGGAGTATTGTAGTATGAGTTCGCTGCGGCTCGGGGTCTGCCTGTGATGCTGACACTGTACTGGATGTGTTGGCGTGGGGATTGTATGTTGGAGATTGGAGCAACATAGATATGATATACTTATAAATAATCAACGACTCAAATAGTTCGACCATTAAAAAAACAAATTAAATACAACATAACGTGGTTTTGTATGTGCTTGGCACTATGTCCATAAATTCCTACTATTAATTTACCGGTATATATCTTGCCTCCATAAATTAGACATACCCATTCAGAACGGAGTGTTATATACGTGGACGTTCCGGACTGGCGAGGGGCTATTTCCATGGTCATGAACTACGATACATCAGAAGGTTTGGTCGATTGCGATTGCCACGCGAGTCGCTCGTTCTATGTTTTGCCGAGGGTCCGACCTCCACATCGCAGGGTCACTGAACCCACCACTTTCCAACCTCACCTTCCTCCAGTACCAATCGAACGGTAGTAGCTACCAGCGACAGTAGTCCCGCTAGGTCCCTCACCAACGAAGATGAGGACATCCAGATTGACCTTTGGTTAATGCGCGCAAACAAACCCCCCCAACAACATATCCGCTACAGAGACTCAGCCGCCATCACTTCCGGCTGGACGCCTTGCGTGCCTTTGATCTCCTCAGAAGTCGACAGGCTGGCTAACTCCTGACAATGGAAGTTGGTGAGAAAGTAGGCGATCTGAATCTGGATCATGCGACGACAATATTCAATCTCACACTGTGGACAACGAAGCAGCTGAAATCTGCAGCGAACTTGACCCAGTACGCTCCTTCCGCAAAGGACCTCCTCCTGGCTGGACCACGGATGGGGATGAGGCTGGGTTCGTTTGTCTTCAAACTACCCCATACTATCGATGATGCATTCGGCGCTCGATGGGCCCAAAGTGTCACCACAGAAGCTCTTGACATCGGCAGGGTTGAAGTAACCTCGAATACAGCAACAATGGTGGGGGAGATGGCAGGGTCGGCAATCATGGACGATCCAGTAAACATCGCTCCAAGCCTAACATCAAAAATATCATTGGAAAGTGGTCGAAGTTTTGGAAACATGGTAGCATATGCGACAAGTCGCTGGAGTCTGGGGTGTTTCCTGATGGCTATCATTGTGAACCGAACCCAGGTTTATGCTTCAACACGTCGACCTCTTGCGCTGGGGATCCGCACAAGACTGGCTCTTAGAGCTCTTCCAATTATTCTTCTAGCGATACAAGCTCGCTGGCTTCTCCAATCCATACAATGCCAAACTTCACCGGACTTTGGTATGCTTAGGTGGGGAAATGCAACAAAAACTTCCGAGCTCATGTTTACACAAAACGGGGGGCCGTTGCACACCATGAGCACCATCCTGCTATTCGGGGCCTCCGATGGGGATTCATGCCGTGCTGTGAGAATGGTCCCCCCTATAGAGGAGGATCAAGCCGATTCAAAAGCACTGAACAATCCTCCGAAGCTTTCAGGGTCACTGGCGACGCTCTGGCCCTTGTTCCAATCTTTATGTGTTAGTCAATTTGTGGAAACTCTCTCCTGTGCTGTCCAAGGTCGCCATGTCGCGTCGGAAACTGGTATGACCTTGTTTGAACACTCTCTCGCATTTGCAGAAGCCGATGCAGCTATCAGTTCGTCACTCGGATGGGGCCCGTTTGGCGGAACACCATCAAAGAAGATTCTAGATAGTCACACAAAGGCGTTCTCAGATACATCGAGTAACTCTGGGACATCAAGCAGATTTCCAGAAATTGCCATCAGCCGGTCGATGATCATGCAGCGGATCAATACTCCGGCAGAAGTTCTTCTCATTGGTTTTCTTTCAAGCATGAGCCACATCACGAGCCACATCCTTGGTATTTTCAATGTTCAGGGCCGATTCAGGCTGCTTAGCACCGCGTTCTGGGGACTCTGCTTCATGGCAATGATAACCCGTAGTATTGTTGACTTCTCTGTTGATGATGCCTCGAATCAGAGTCTGCTTAGATTTCCTACCGTCTGCATCATTGGGTTCATTCCGCATGTGATGATACTCACAGGAATATTACTCTGCGCGGCCATATATGGCTTTGCCATTCTCCTGGCTGCCTTGGCGCCACCGCATGGTGTTCAACCACAGAGAGGATCATTCCTACAGCATTTGGCAGCGGCGCATAACAATATGCAGGCTAGCGTTCCATTGGGGAATATCCGTGTTAGCCTGCATATGGACTTCTATTCGGCTCTCCTTAAGATTGGGTTTAGTGCTTTAACTATGGCGAGCCAAGCCGTCTATCTCAACGAGAGCCTCGAGGTCAATATTAAACATCAGACATGGCTCGAGGATGAGAGACTTCGAGAGATCGAAGAGACAGGAGCACATTGGCTGGGACCAAACTTTCGTCAGGGCATGGGGGACGGCTCTGGCCTCGTTATCAATAAGGACCATCTATCAGCAAGGAGTGGGTACGCAAGAGAGAGAGTAGCACAAGACCCTGGGAAAACGAAACCATCCGACAAAATCGTACGGGATGGGGTTGGTGCCACAGAAAGGAGCGGAAGATGGATTATGGCCTTCGAATTTCTGGCTGGAATTGCCAAGCTTATTGCTAGCTGGTTTGCCGTGGTTGCAATTAAGGTATTGGCCCGATTGGGAGTCCGTGGTAGGCCACTGTGGCTACACTGGCTCGTCAAGAACAAGAGTGCAACCCAAACTGTTGCGAGCAAAAGAGACGTCAAAGGTCCGGAACCCGAGACCTTGGATTTCTGGCTATTGAATAATGAGGGGGAGCTAATGCTGCCCCCGGATGACAATGTCGACGTTGAATTTGAAACGAGGCGCCTCCTTCGAGGTGATAATTCACGATGGTCTCCTCGAGACGAGCAGCAACTCGATTCAAACTTGTACGGCTGGTGGTTGAAAGGTGGTTGGTGGGGAGGGGATGACAATAGTGGACAGTTCGTTCCACGGAATAGCGAGGTTGAGGATGATATGACAAGTATGATCTCAACATCCGATATATCAACCGATCAGGAATGGGACTCAGAAAGTGACGAGGATAGTGGGCAACGGACGCCAACTCAGAAATCTTTGTTTATAGATCGAGAGTCAACCTCAGTTCCGGATACACCCCTATCATCGGCTGAGCTGGTACGGCTACTGAATCCACAGACCCCAGACCAACGTGCCGAAGCTCAGACTTTAGCTGCACACTTAGGCAGCGACACTATCATGACTCGATCACGATATCGAGACTTGCACCAGCGGGAGAAAGCAAAGGTTCTCATGTCAACTCGGCTTCGCCCTCCGCACCTCCATGACGTCGAAAGGCTCACTCCTGAAGAGGAATCCCAGCTGCTCGAATATCTTATCGTTTCACGCCGTCGCCCCTCAGGAAGCGCCACTGTTACCACATCTGAGCCATCGTCATGGGCCGAAGGGGCATCCGGGATGGGTGATGGTGGCCCGCTTTGTGTCGTGTGCCAGAGTACTCCAAGGAGTATTATTGTGTGGCCATGCCGTTGTTTGAGCCTTTGTGATGACTGTCGGGTGACTCTTGCTATGAACAATTTTGACAAGTGCGTCTGTTGCAGGAGAGACGTGGGTAGTTTTAGCAGAATATTTGTCCCTTAGTGCGCTTACATAGACGAGTAGTCACGGTTGCTGTAGCATTATTTACACGAAACACAAATAACAGTTTCAAATGGATACGAAGATAATTCTACAGTACAAGTGCATCAGAAAGTTGTGAATTTGGCATATAATAACCTACGTGTGGTCAGCTTGTTGCATATCTCTGCATTGAACTCTGCTGAAGTGGTGGTATCCGTAATGCTCCATCCTCTACATCCCACCCCATTCGATGCAAAATGGACGAACGGTGTTTCCTTGCGTTCCAGGACCTTCCCCTCCAATGAGAAACCCTTTCTTCACACCTGTGCCTAAACGCCCGCCGCCCACCAGATCAATGAGGGGTATCTCTTCTTCCCAATCATGGCCAACGGCAAGAAAGTGACTGTGGAACCTCAAAGGATCCCCAGGGTAAACAGTATAGTCGCAGCCAAACCGAAGGCCAGGTGTCATGAAATAGTCGAGCGCATGCAAGTGGCAAAACAGTGCGTAGGAAGCCGGCACAACAGGATCCGGTTGCTGTATGTGACCTTGGGATAAAGGCAATACGGAGCTTGTAGTGGTTGTCGTGACGGCATAAGGTGCAGAAGAAGGGACTGATGGCGAGGAGACTGTTGGCAGTGATGGATGATCAGGGAACAAGGACTCTTCCGAGGGTGAGCTGTTTGAGAAACTTGTCACGTCGGTTGGTTCTGTCGAGGACTTGGCAACAGTAGACTGCAACGTATCTTTTGAAGCTCGTAATAGAGCTTGTTTGGCTAAGCCCTTTTCAATTTTCTTTTGCGAGACCTCTTCCGCAGCTCTCCGAGACATCCGACCTTGAGACCTGAGAGAATCCAAATATTTCCTTCTGTCATCACCTACAAGTGTACTGAATGTTTCACGATGTTGTGATGCATCGTCTACAATATATGCTACCTCTTTCTCGACGAGAAGCCTAGCTTCCTCGGGAAGTAACTCGACAGGAAGACCAAGGAAGACATTTTGTTGAGGAACTTGTGGAATGCTGCCAATAAGGACACCACAGATGTGATGGGTTCTACGTAAGTAAGTCACGACGTTGATGTCGAACACCAAGTACCGCCCTGCAATCCTGGAAATCGGGACTGGACCGTCGATCATGGTGTCCCCAGAAGCCATCTTAAGATAGTCAAGGTCAATAACCTATTCCTGTAAAACCATTTGTGTCAGTGAGTGTGACAAGAAGGTGATTTTGGAGTAATGTGGAAAGTAGTGACGATAAATCATTAATTAAAACATATATTTGAACTTCATATCCAGAGAGACTCTGGTTCTCAGGGGATTGACAGATTGTTGAATCATATCGAAGATGGGATCGGAATAGGATTGGATGTACTAACCATAACAATCAAGCATTGGTATTGCTGAGTCTGACAATGTTCAGATCCATTGTGCGGAACTTTTACACTTTTAAATGTTTGGAAACGAGAATATTTTGAAAACTTATAGTTGACATACGGCGCTAGTATAATGTGCTTATTAAGCAGATTTTTCAATGTGTCCTTGGCGACAACCCTATGACACGTGATTTATTATTGTGTCATTGGATAAAAACTCTCACTCATTGTACTGTAGTGTGTATAGGGTACGAGTTCTTCGTGAGGGAGATCTACCCTATCCCAAAGGATTTAGTAGGATCAAGCGGTTAGTCTCCTTGCCATTGCATATTTCCGCTCCGGTTCTGATAGTCGGACATGCCTTCTGACACATGGCTTCTGACCGCAGCTGCCTTCCACAGCTTGCTACCGCGTCTTTCCCAGAGCTCAGGTATGTTGGGTTTGCCGTGATGCCTCCTGTCAACCTCTCAACTTCAGAGCTACGGACTCTGTCAGTGCCGCATCTAGTACTCGGTATGACCTCTTTGCCGCTTCGATAGCATTTTCCGATAAAGAATCGTAAGAGGAGTGTCCGTCTTCCGAATATTCCGTGTCAAAATCCCCCTTCGCCCAGAGATCTGTGATCTCGTCTCGTGAAGGTAAATATCCTACCACACAGGCTGCCAGTATCTCTGAGTGCTCCGAGGGCACCGGATCTAAAACCAAGGTAGGATGTAGAAGAGTTCCGGATTTAGCGGACACTTGTAACTCTCGATCTCTTACTACCGCTGCTACCCCACCGGAGACCATGTCCACGCAATCAATTCCCGCATCGGAAATAGCAGCAGAAGCAACTGTAATACAGCCGCTAAGAACATTCATCATACCCCACTGACCCGCTGGTCCTGATTCAGCCTGGTTGTCGTCCTCCCACCATTGATCCTCCTCGCCCTCCAAAATCGTGACAACAACGTCGACTCCGCTTTTTGGCCATCGGTCTCCAATAATAACTCCTCTCAACGCCGTTTCGAGGTGCATTGCAAGGTCGCGCTCGCCTGCATCTCGCTGGTACCCACGCCTCTTCCGGGTAGCAAATGGGGCGTATTTAACATGAGCTGCCAGGACAACATGGGGCGAAAATGGGGCAGATCGGGGCAGTGGTCGTGGCCCATGGACAGTACAGCTTATTTTAAGCCCAGACGATGATAGTGATGACAACTTGGGGGTTGATGATTTCGGCTGTGATTCGCACTCGAGATATGCGGAGCCTGAAGCAGACGGAGTGACACCAGTTTTGAGAACTGTAGCATGTTAGAACGGCCGCCTTTATCAAGTGATTTTAAACAGTTGCGACTGACAAATCTTCCGAATCTCATTTGGCGCTCTTGTTCGAGCCAACCTGCTCTTCGTCTCGGGGCTACTTACACCACTGCCCATAAACAATGGTGGTGCCGTGCCGCAGCTGGGCCCGTTGATACGGCGTCTGTCGGCCATTTCTTGGGCAGAGAGCTGGTGTCGTAGAAATGCGATTGCGCTCAAAAGTTCCTAGATCTTCCTCCGTGAAGCATATGCTAATGGCACGCTAGGCGGAACGATTATCCGTCGCTAATTGCTAGCTTGGGAGTTTTCTGGAGCACCTTTCCCGCTTTAAAAACGAAAACTTTCAACTCCAAATTTACATTTACATTCTACAAACGCAATGAGTGTTGGCAAAGATCGATGTTCAAAATGGCCTTTGTAGCATACCTACTGTATTGTGCCACGGCGTGAGCATTCAGTTAATACTGTAAGTACTGTCATTTCATACATTCCACTTGCTCCTGATGAAATTCTTTCACAGAGTTCTGGCGATTACCTGAGCCAAATCGAACAACATGCACTACCATCTGAAGCACATCCACCTTCAATCATTATCCAAAAATTTCTTCGAGGATCTGGACTGACAGGATTAGAATCATAGGAGATCGGAACTATAGGACAATTTTATTTTCGGCCGCATTGGTAAGCGCGACCTCTTTTCTTCTTCCAATACCCTGGAGTTTCCTTGTGAACACTCCAATCCGTTTCCTGATGAAAAAACATTTCAAACAGTTCTGCTTCTGAACACCTTGATGATATCCCATTACCAAAAATATTTTTCTGAAAACATTCTCAAACACCGTTATGCAATGATTACATTTCAAGGCAACAAACTAACGAGACAATAGGCGGCCCTCAATATCATCAACCACCGGTAAAGGTAGGAAGCAATACCTTTCGTATGAATATCAAATGCCATGATGACAACAGCTTATCCATTCAACTAAGTCGTATTCGGCCGAGCCACCCTCCCACACCAGACTGGTCCTTACAGATCGGAATGATAGGTTGTGGAGTTTTGAGGGGCACTTAATTTGGCTTTCGGGCTGGGGTGTCACTTATGTTATGCTGGCTTCCGTGTCTTAGGTCTTCTCGTTGCGTCTTGGAACGTTAGGGCCTGAGGCCGGCCGAGTTGCTTGAGTAAACCGGCCTGTCTGAGCGTACTTCATGTTAAATCATGATGAATATTTGCATTGTCGTGGCTTTTCGCTAACAGACAGTAGTTCTGCATATAGCACCACCTTTTCGTTCTCTCTTGTGAAGTAATCAATTAAATATATGTAACTTGTGTGAGAAGTTCATAGTTGGTCTGATGGGCCCCGAAATAAACAATAATAGTATTATATCATGACGTTCTTCAGCACGATTATAGTGACATGGAAGTCGTAGATGGCGGTCAAATACTCTCAATATTCAAGACTTCGTATTGCCCCTATTGAGCTGTACGTCGGCAAATTTGATCTGCTGTAGCCCCACAGAAACAAAACACATCGTTGAAGTATCGGTCTTCGTTCCTGTGGAGTTCTTCCCGTCTGTTCTGTTCTGTCCCTCCTCTCCTGAACTGTCCAAATTGTATATCACGTGATACGATCCTCACTAGCCTGTAGCGGGACCATGATTTTCCACTCCGATTGGCGCGCCTGTTTCAGCTTTTCCCCCCTACCAAAGAAGAAAGGTGGCCCAAGACCTTGTACTCGTCTCGTAAAGTACTGGTGTACATACGCTCCTCGTTTAAACCTAAATTCCGCGCCCAAGGGGAACTGAAGGCGTCGTTCCTTGAAGTGACGACCAACGACTATACACCCACCAGCCAGACACGACGCTTGTAGGAATGCAATCCCGTCTGGCGACGAACAGTCCAATATTGCTGCCTTTTTTCAAGGTCAATTGCGCTCACCTCTGTATTTAAGCGCAACGGGCACCTGGGCAGGACCGATCAGGGTGAACCACAGCTGTGTTCAATCGCATCGGTGTTCCGCAAACGTTGGGGACCATCGACTGGCCTACTGATCTCGATTTCCACCTACACGACGTTGAAATACTGTTTGGCTACAACTGTCTTAATGTTGCCATCATATGCTTCCCCATCGCCGAAGATGTTATCGAGACATCAGGCAAATGCCTATTCGAAGGGCCACCCATACCCACAAGGCGGCACTGGTACCTTCACAATTTCTCCACATAGGTAATGCTTTCCAAGATCGAGTTGAATACGCTGTGCGACGGCTGACTAGGTGCTGGTTGTAGGTTCCAACCCAGAAGCTCACCGACTGCATTAAGAAAACGGCGAGCCCTTTTAATACGACTTGCTATTTGCCTCGGCGTTGGTTTAGTCTTTTGCATATTTGTATGGCCTGGGGTGTCAATAATGCCTCTGATAACACTGGGTCTGCTTTCATCCGGGGAAGATTTCCAACTAGAGACAGTGCGGTACTACGACTTATCCAATGTTGGAGGTACTGCGAGGGGATGGGAAAGAGAGGAGCGTATCCTTCTCTGCGCACCATTACGTGACGCGGAATCACATTTGCCGATGTTCTTTTCTCACCTGCGGAACCTCACATACCCACATCATTTAATCGACCTTGCATTCCTTGTGTCGGATTCCAAGGACAGGACCTTGTCGGTGTTAACCGAGCTTCTCGAGGGACTCCAGGCCGAAGAGGATCCAAATCAACCATATGGCGAGATATCCATCATCGAAAAGGACTTTGGTCAGAAAGTGAACCAGGATGTGGAAAGTCGCCACGGATTTGCAGCCCAAGCTAGCCGGAGAAAACTTATGGCACAGGCGCGGAACTGGCTGCTCAGCGCTGCCTTGCGGCCTTACCATAGTTGGGTATATTGGCGAGACGTTGATGTTGAAACCGCTCCTTTCACTATCCTGGAGGATCTAATGCGACACAATAAAGATGTTATTGTCCCCAGTAGGTGAACTGAGGTAGAAAATCCCCAATTTACCATAGGTCCTAACACTTTGGTGCTAGATGTCTGGAGGCCCCTGCCGGATTGGCTAGGGGGGGAACAACCATATGATCTTAATTCCTGGCAAGAGTCAGAGACAGCATTGATGTTGGCAGACACCCTCGACGAAGACGCAGTCATTGTCGAAGGGTATGCAGAGTATGCCACATGGCGGCCGCATCTTGCCTACTTGCGAGATCCATATGGTGACCCGGATATGGAAATGGAGATTGACGGCGTGGGCGGAGTTAGTATTTTGGCTAAGGCTAAGGTATTCAGGTCTGGGGTTCACTTCCCAGCCTTCAGCTTTGAGAAGCATGCGGAGACGGAAGGGTTCGGAAAGGTACGTCCCAACATCTAGCCGGCGCAACGTGAAGCTAAACATAAGTCAGATGGCGAAGCGGATGAAATTTTCTGTTGTAGGCCTACCACATTACACCATCTGGCATTTGTATGAGCCAAGTGTTGATGACATTCGACACATGGAGGTATGTTATATCTCGTCATATAACAACCACTCGACTAACTTGATATAGGAAATGGAGCAGGAGCGCATCGTACGTGAAAATGAAGAGAAAGAGAAAGCTGAGAGGGCCAAAAAAATTAAGGAACAGTTTGATGATCCCAACAGCCAGTGGGAAAAGGATAAGACAGATATTCAAAGCCTGGCTATGCTTGAGAAGGCAAAGGAGCAACAAGCAACCGCTACTCCCGTTGCTAACCCTTGAGGGATCATGACAGAGAAGAACCCACCCAAGTCAGCTGTAAGGGCAAATTTACGCCACCCCATACTGGAATTGTATCTGACGACATATATAGACACACACATGCCATTTTATCAGTACAGGTCAGCTGGGTGGGTGGCAGTATTTAGTGGGGGGTAACGCGGTTTGTGTATGGAAATGTATACTATGTAAGTGTTGTAGAAAGGGGACAGCACGGGCGGAATTGTCATGTGGACTTAATTACCCTCGAATGCATTGGCTATAGAAGGCGTATATTTCAAGGGAATCTGCATATTAGTTATTGTGGTTTACAACTAGCTGTGCCCATGTGAATAGTTGGAATGAGTGACGAATTTCTCGGCTGTGGACCTAATTACTGGAGACAGTGAGTGTAGTTGAACTCAGAGCCATTGTTATTCTCACTGAGACCACCTGTGACAATGGAATCAATTATTCCCACCTTGATTTTATAATACACAAGATTCTTATATAGAGGGTCTGTCTTGTTCGTATTGGTAGGACCAACTCCTTTATATATCTGATAACAGCACGTGACTACAGTAGATAACAACGCGACCGGACCACGGCCGCTGTCGACCCTGGATCGGGACACGACTCGGCATGGGGGAGCTGTGCCTCCGAAATTTATAGATATTCGAAAGACATTCGAAAGTCCAACGGCGGAGACAAGAAAGCCCACATTTTCTCGACAGGTGATCTTTGTCGCCCTGAAGAATCCTGGGCTTCACGTTTTTGCTATTTGTGAGTTCTTTCTCCAGCTCGAGCCTCCATAATACGCCCTGACGAAGCTTGGGAGCGACTTTCAACAATACACCATTAACTTTGCTCAGCTTGGAGTGACCTCCAACAATAAACCACCAACCCAGCTTGCTCACAGCAACCCCAATTATACACCACCGACTTGACTCGGCCTGCAGCGACCTCCAACAATACACCACCGACCCAAGTCCGTTTGTAGCGACCTTCATACCACGTTTGCGGATACAAGTCATGAGCGGCGATGAACAAGCCAGAGAACTAGGAAGAGGCCCGACAGAATTGGAATCCCATATGCCATTTCAAGCCAGCACAGGGAAATTTACGGGGGAGATGCCGAACCAAGTTCACCAAGAACCGTCTTCGCCCTACAGACGCCCAGGAGCCTTTCCAGTTTCAGTTTCAGTGGCCATCGACCCGGTAGCTCTAATAACAACAGAATGCATAACCGTGGCATCTGCCATGCGTAAGCATGCTCGATGGGCCCATTCATCAGTTTCGGCTATCCTTGGTGGGAGTACAAGCTCTTCAAACTCCGTTGCGGAAGGGTCCAGACCTTCAACGCCAGGACGCAGCCTTTCCGCTCGAAAAGGACACCAAGTTCGACCATCTCTTGTCGAACATGATAGTCTAGCAAACAGGTGGGGGCTGCGGGGGAAGAAGGGAAAGAGCATGCAAGATAACCCCTTAATGGCTGGCTTTGGACGCTTGAGGCGGGACTTGATCGGCTGCAAGGGTATATGTTCATTGCTATGCATATACAAGAGCATCTAGGCTAACATGCTGTGTAGATATTCGCAATTTCGACACTCCCGCGCTTCTCCACCCATTCCTCCAGGTTATCCAGGCATCCGCGACCTCAGCCCCTATTACCTCTTTAGCTCTCGTTGCTATTACGAAGTTTTTCTCCTATAATCTAATAAGCCGTGATTCTCCTAGGTTAGCCCTAGCAATGCAGTCGCTGTCGGCTGCTATTACGCATTGTAGGTTTGAAGCAAGTGATTCCGCAGCCGATGAGATTGTCCTCCTACGAATATTAAAGCTTATGGAAGGAATGATATCGGGACCTGGAGGAGAGCTGTTAAGTGATGAAAGCGTCTGCGAAATGATGGAGACTGGCCTTAGTATGTGCTGCCAATCGAGATTGTCCGAGCTACTCCGTCGATCAGCGGAGATGTCGATGATCAAAATGTGCCAGGTAATATTTGAAAGATTGAAATACCTCGAGGTTGCAGCAGGAGAACATATCGAAGCTTTAGACGAAAGCACAAAGGAAGATATGGATGGCGTAAAGATGGATCCGTCCGCAAATGGCAACGATGCTGTTGCCTCGTCACTATCTGCGCCAACAGAGTCTGAATCGCTACCAAGAGTAAATCTGGACACCCCACAATCAACGGAGGCAAGCGGTGTGCCAACAAGCAACTACGAATCCGAAATTGGCGCCGGGCCAAGTTCAGAAGCTTCGGAAGACATTGAAATCAAGCCGTACTCGCTTCCATCGATCAGGGAACTCTTCCGTGTTCTAGTCGACCTCCTGAACCCGCAGGATCGCCAACATGTGGATGCCATGAGAGTCATGGCACTACGTATTATTGACGTTGCCCTTGAAGTTGCTGGCCCGTCCATCTCCAAACATCCTAGTCTGGCATCACTCGCCGAAGATAGACTTTGCCGGCATCTGTTCCAGCTGGTGAGGTCTGACAATATGGCCATACTCCACGAATCCCTGATAGTTGCTGGCACGCTCTTGTCCACGTGTAGAGAGGTGTTGAAATTGCAGCAAGAACTGTTCTTATCTTACATGGTGGCGTGTCTACACCCACGTGTTGAGATACCAAGGGAGCCAGGAATTGATCCATCACTGTACTCTGGCGTACCACAAGCTCCGAAACTAGTCAAACCACCGCCCTCGCAAACAAATAGCGGCCGGTCGACTCCGGTTCCTATCAAGGACAGGCAAAAACTAGGTATGGAGGGAGGGTCTCGGAAACCAGACGCGAGAGAGGCTATGGTGGAGAGTGTGGGCGCTCTTGCTCGCATTCCAACCTTTATGGTTGAGTTGTACGTGAACTACGATTGTGACGTGGATCGGAGTGATCTTTGTGAGGACATGGTCGGCCTTCTGTCACGTAATGCCATCCCTGACTCGGCCACCTGGAGTACGACAAGTGTCCCACCATTGTGTTTGGATGCTCTCCTGGGTTATGTGCAATTTATAAGCGAAAGACTTGACGAACCACCTCGAAGCGGAGATTACCCTGATCAAACCCAGTTGAGGGAACAACGAAGGAGAAAGAAAATCATTATTAAGGGCACCACAAAGTTTAATGAGAGTCCAAAAGCAGGTATAGCCTACTTAACGTCTCAAGGGATAATCGATGACTCAAGCGATCCTGATTCTGTTGCTACGTTTTTGATGGGAACTAGCCGTATCTCTAAGAAAGTACTGGGCGAGTTCTTGTCGAAGAAGGGCAACGAACCCATCCTTGAGGCGTTCCTGAATCGATTTGATTTCTCGGGCAAACGTGTTGATGAGGCAGTGAGGGATCTCCTGGAGGCGTTCAGGTTACCAGGAGAGTCGGCTTTGATTGAACGAATCATTACTTACTTCTCGGAGAAATACTGCGCGCAGTCACCACCAGATGAGATCACAGACAAGGATGCGATATATGTCCTGACGTATGCCATCATTATATTGAACACAGACCAGCATAATCCCAACCTTAAGTCACAGAACCGGATGACGTTGAACGACTTCTCGAGGAACCTCCGTGGCGTAAATGGAGGAAAGGATTTTGCGCCACAATACCTTCAAGATATATTTGACTCCATCAAGTCGAACGAAATCATCCTACCTGATGAACACGATAACCAGCATGCCTTCGATTACGCCTGGAAGGAGCTGCTGCTTAAATCCGAATCGGCCGGCAATCTAATCGCCTGCGACACAAACATTTATGACGCTGACATGTTTGAGGCAACATGGAAGCCCGTTATTGCAACTCTGTCCTATGTGTTTATGTCTGCCAGCGATGACGCTGTCTTCCACCGGGTTGTCACAGGATTTGATCAGTGTGCTCGAATTGCTACTCGGTATGGTATGACGGAAGCTCTGGACCAGATTGTCTACTGTCTCAGCTACATTAGCACCCTTGCAACAGTAACCCCGGCAAGCACAGCATTAAACACGGAGATCCAAGTAGAGGATACGAGTGTTATGGTCAGTGAGATGGCTGTTAAATTTGGGAGAGATTTCAAGGCCCAATTAGCGACTGTTGTGTTGTTCCGTGTCGTGTCAGGCAGCGAGACTGTTATCAGAAATAGTTGGATACATGTGAGTCTCTAAGAACTGTAAATCTAAGCTGGGGATGCTAATATTTTGTTAGATTGTCCGCATATGGATCAATCTGTTTGTTAATAGCCTGATCCCACCATTCTTCTCTGCTGCACCGAATAGGATGCAAATTTCACCTATTCCTCTGCAGAACCCATCGCAGGTCATCGACCGTGGAGCCAAAGCCACCGATGCGGGCCTCTTTTCAGCATTTACTTCGTATATCTCGAGTTATGCTGCCGATGACCCACCAGAGCCATCTGAGGAAGAGCTAGAGAGCACACTGTGCACAGTCGGATGCGTGAATGCGTGCTACATGGGCGATGTCTTCGCAAATATCATGTAAGATAATCTCAAGATACGTGAATAACTCATAAACTAACATAATTTAGGGATTTGCCTGCGGAATCCTCACAGTACCTCATCGAAGCATTACTCTCGCAATTGCCAGATGATCCTTCCTCTACGATTATAGCGGTAAAATCCGATAACAATGCTGCGACAGTGAATGGCCAGAAAACCCTTAGTGATGGACTAATTTATGACCCTGCATTTGTCTATGTTTTGGAGCTATGCACCGTCCTGTCTCTGAAAGACGAGAACTCCGTTCTTCAGTCAGGAGCCCAGGTGTCAGAAGCACTGCAGAGTGTAATCCGGGATTCTGCAAACTACCACCCTACACTGGTTGCTAGAGCTGTTTTCTATCTCCTCAGTCTTTTGCATGCGAGTTATGTCCGTATAACCGAACCCTTAGCTCTCCTTCAGGCTAACCAAACTTGTAGGAACACTCATTCATACGAGTCCCTGTCGTACTCCATACTATCTCTAGTTTCAAAAATGGGTTACTGGATAAAGCGGCGCCCACTATTCTTGAAGGGATTAAGGCTTGTATCGAAAGTCCAGGCCCCCTACGCAATGAGATAATCACCTCGCCTGACTTCTGGGTCATCTTACGGGCACTTTCAAAGAACCAGCAAGCGTCTTCAACTGTTTTCCATATTTTGGAAGGGGTTACAACAGGGAAGACCCCACCTTCGATAATGGCCGACAATTATGAGTCGGCCGTCTCTCTCTTGAATGATTTCGCATCTGCTGGAAGTATTGGATCTGTGCTGGAGCAAAAACAGGATACAAGATCTCGGAGAGGGCAGCAGACGAAGCCTTTAAAAGCCCAGTAAGTCACAGTTGAAGCTGAGTTGTAGGCACGCTAACATCTCAGGTCCGACGAGGTCGTTGAAAGAGGCGTTAAAGCAGTGGGAATGATATAT